CACATACATATACGTTTTAACGAAACAAAATAGATTAATGAACAGAAAAGGCAAACAATGAATGAAAATACTCAAGTTACGAACATAAATGTGCATTTAACAAGTACAGAAGTTCAATTTACGAATACATACTCGTATAGTAAAATACGAATAATAAAGCAGAAAACATTCCATAAGCAAGAGATGCAATTATGTCTGTCATATTTAAAACTCTGGGACTTTCCCTCCTCTTAACTGCTAACTAAGGTTTTCAATGTCCTCTTCGCATTCGTTTATTAATGATTAAACAATGTCTTTACATGTCTTGCCTTGCCTACGATGAGTTTGATCGATGTTTCATTTTAGGTAAATAGAACAGTTGTCATTTACTTTGGTGGTCATTCAGTTAAGTTAGGCCAATGTACACCCTTATTTGCGAACCATCAACTCTTCTCTCCCCGAACTTATTTCTCCACTCGCACATCGAGTTTCGACATCGCAAACCATTGTTCGCGGGAACGAACGCGGTAAGCGAGGTGTCGACTTTTGGCTTGCAACCGAAGATACCTCAAGAAAAGCCAGAGACGAAGTTTTCCTTTGCAAACGAAGTTGGTCAAGGGTAACACGAATGTGAAGAGGACGTCTCTAATTGGTCAAAAAGAGAGGCGCGGCATTCTTCGTCAGATTGAATCGGCAAAATTCGGTTGTATGGCTTACCTTCGGTTGTATGGCTTACCTCGGGCTGCATGGCTCAACCTCGATTGAATGGAAAAGATCCCGTTCCGGGTAACTGACAACCGCGTGAGTTAGTCCCTGATTTGAATTTCCAAAGAGCTCTAGATAAGGAGTTTGTTGTCCGGGTGTCCGTCACAAAAACCAACTACTGCCTTGTGCTTGTCTTCTTACATATATGCTCTACACTGGGTTTTGTTACATTTTGCCGGTAACACTCAGGCTTTCACTTAGAAAATGAGGATTTAAGCAAGGATGTATTGACTTAACATGGAGATAATGCACTAATGTCTTAACATGGGGATATCATCATATTCTAAGCCATCATAGATATTTATTTGGGTAACATTTTTATTTCCCTGTACCTTTGATACATGTCACACTACCTTTTTAAGCATTAGTGTTTTTGATTACTTATAAAATGCATTGACACCAAAACATTGTGCCATGCAGATTTTTTACAATTGCAGAAGTGTGCATCCTTTGGGAACAATCTTTTAACCTTTTCCAAATCAGGTGACTTCTACCTTCTCAACATATTCAAAAAAGACTATTTGTTGTAATTGTTCACCTATGTGAGTCGAAATATCGAAACTTGTTTCGTTTTTATATCACATCCAGGTCAGTTTCTCATTTTGAACTAGTTTAAAGTAATTTCATTCAAAGTTATGATCTTAATAAATCATGCTACTTGAAGATGAACGAGTTATGACTGCGTATTTTCATAAAAGTCAGGAGAAATTATGGTATTTCAAAAAATTATTCATGCCATATGCAATGATAAATATTAATAACACGAGAAGTTCAAACTACTTGTTTTACAGGGCTATCTGTAATTAGCATGTTATTTTTCATTTGGTGTCCAACTGTATAAGGAAACAAGTCAGCTTGCCTTTTATTCTAACAATTGAACATAACATGAAATTGAATACATTGCAAATAAAATTTCAAGAGGATATAAAATAATAACGAGGTCCACTTGAGTAAAAAATAAAGATTAGAAGCAAGGCTTGAAAAGTCATAAAAATATTATAAAAGGCTATATATATTGTTTGCTTTATAAGGTGTTGACGGTTGGCATTTTCATATTACAAACATAGCTGAAGATTTCACTCCATCAACGGTTGGTCATTTTCAGGCGGGCATACACAAGGATCTATTCTTATGGAGTCGTCAAGAAAGCTCTCCTCTTCAGCTCTTTTTATATGATTGTGTGGTGTCTAAGAAAGGAATATGGTAAGTGTCGACGGTTATAGCAACACCATAGTAACTATAGCAACACCATAGTAACTATACATTTCACATTGTGACCGTGTCTTGCAAACGACGGTCTCAAGGTAAAATGTAATTTTGGTATGGTTAACGTAGATACGTTGCTAAAAGATCCCACGGAACGACTCGGAGGCTTTTTAGGCTTCAGGTGCGATTCGGAGTTAGCTAGTTGACCGTTCAGTGAGTACAAAACGTTTTTCTGTTCTGTAAATGACTTTTTTGAGTGGCTATTGTTATTCACGGAATAGAAGTTGACATTGAAATTCACTTCACTACGTGTTTTCAATATAGATGGAATGATAGATGTTATTGCAAATACCACGATAGATCTAACGAATCAATCATTCTCTGTGGCTTTTAAAAGATCAATATCAAATAAAGCCCAACTGATTTCAAACTTCTGATATGAAAATCCTATGCAGATTAGATTAACATGAGATATGGGCATATTTACGATAATTGATATTTTTGGAAATTCATGAATTCTGCTATTCTACCACATCCTGCGCCATGTGTATTGATATCAACGACATTATATTGTTCTATCGTGATGTCAACACAATTGTTTACCATGACCATGCGATATATATTGAAAATGTTGCTTATTATTTCTTAAACTGATTTTGAAAATATCAATTATCGTAAAGCCCTTATATAGTCATTTCAGATTGGCGTCTCTTACATGTGGTGGAGCTGCCAAATATGGACATTGTCAATATCGTCTCAGTTCAACAATGGTCGATCTTGCCCATCGCTAAATCGAAGACCATTGCTATTTTTACAAACCATTTGGAGGAAGGATGGTATTAACATCTTAAATATAAGTGAAATAAGCATTAAGAAATTGAATACTAGTACATGAATTTACTTCCAAATGTGAAACAAAGACAATACACTGGTTGGGAGTTATTCTTTAAAAAATCTTACAAAATATTACAATATTTGCTTACAACAGGCCATGCCATGCTTATTTAAATGTGCAACAGTTCTGCTTTTATTTCATGATAATGCTTTGATGGTTATAGGTGATAATTTTGAAAATGTGCACATTCCGCTCTTCACCACATTGCATGTTAAAAGGCGTTTGATTTTTGGAAATATTTGCTTCCAACTAGCTGGTTTAACTAGGCTACCTGTATAGTATTCCTTGCTATAACTTTGATAGTTGGTTCAGTTGTCCTGAACACAATCTTTGTTTGGCCTGGACGAATCGTATTTCAAATCTGAATCGATTGGATACATAAAATTACAAGTTTCATATTAACCGATAAGGTGAAGTAGTCGAAGCTTACGCGTCACATTACCATAAGAATGGATTTTAATGGGTCCTTTCAGATACGGCTTGAGAAGAACTTCACTTTTTTAATTTACGACGTCCTTGTTTGCATTTTCTTTGAATACATTTATTTCTGAAACCTCTGACACGGCGTACAATGTTTGTCCACACAAACTACAATAGTTCATTTTTAAATTGAACCATAATCCCCTTAAACTTCTACGAGCACCATTCTCCGAGCGTTCTTTAACATCAGTCATTCGATACTAAAGAAATAGCAATGTGTAAACAGTAACTTAATTGTTCGTTTTTTTGTGTTGGTGGTGATACTTTTTATATAACGTCAGGTAACACATATCAAGTAGCATTTGTGGTTCAGAAGTGAATCAAAGTTCAAAATTAATCAATTACCTGGATTCACTTACCGATTCAATGAACATGGTCTAAAAAGTGACAAAATGGAAAAGTCAGTTGATCCGATGGAGGTAAGTGCGAACTTTACTGAATTGCAAAATTTTACCAAAAGATCAATACTTGCTCTAGATCTAACATGTCGTCTAATGGATCTCTGGTATCCTGTTTCCCATTCTAACATTTATTCTAGAGCCCCGTGTGTGTTTGCGCATCAGTGGGATTGTATCGATTCTGAGCACGAAGACCTGTGCGCTGCCAATATTTTTAGACTCCCAACTGATAGGGATGTGTCAAACACGATACATTAATCTGCTGTAAAATTTACAATAACGCCATGTTCAATATATGGGGCTAAGAGTGACACGCATACTTGAAATCAACGAAAGAAATCTGATCATTACAACATGTACACGTACATTATTATAAAAGTTTCTATTGTTTTTGTATCGATCTTCTCACAGCTATCCATATAATATATTACTTTAATAAACATTACTCTGGAATTTATATACAAGGCTCATGTGAAGAGATCAATGTTCCATGCGTAATTATGATACTAGATACAGTAGTTAAAATTGTCAAAGCTTTCAGACGGTATATGGATTTCCATCATTGGTAAGCTGAGGTAAAATGATAAATCAATTTCATAACTAACCAACTGCCAGGCTTATCATAACATAACTAGGATTAGACAAAGCCGCTGCATAACGACATCAATAACAATTTTTATTTCTATAACTACTATTAACTACAAGCAGGATGTAATCGGAAACTATCTGATTAAAGACTACGATTGTTTTAATCTTTCATCAACCGTGGTTGAGAATTTAATTTCAAAATATATGATAAGCTAAGAATTGTAGTTACTGGTAAGGTTTGCGCTGGTAAGTAAACGTGTTTCTATGCTATCAATAACACACTTTGACAACACGGAATAAAGTCCAACAGCGATTGTCATGGTAATTTGTTATAAATTTCTGACTGGCGACTTTGTTCTTAGAGTTATAAAGTCATTCACCTCATCATAATCTTGGAAATTAACATGGGCTACTCAGGGGACTACTTTAACCTGGAGCAATTGAATTTTCATGAGCAATGGCGTCGGGGCATGTTTTCTAAATATAATTTTGGAAAATTATAATCAAAATGCGATTAATCAAATAGAACGTCAAATAGATGAAATCATAAAGTAGACGTAGCCTTAAAGTCCTAGTATGTAGCGTTTCTTTAAGAACTACTAAGTAAATCGAGAGTCGTATCTCAAGAGGTAAGTAGAAGAACCAACATTTATGGGCTCACTTAGACCTCGTTCAACTAATGGAACAATATTTAAATATATTCTTTGAACAATTGCTCACTTCAATGTGGAAATGTTGGCAATTACGTTAACAAGGTGAATGAGTGTGCCTGATTAAACCCCTTATTGTATTAATAATACGTTACAAGGCAGGGGAGCTGTTAAATAAACACAAACGATCCTCAGGTATGTTGTTTTTATTTCTTACTGCCACAAAGCAAAGATTCAATGTTTCAAATATTTTGGTCGAACCATTATGAACATGGACGTGAACTGGATTAATGTTCGTCAATAACTTAGTCATACTAAGTGTAATTAAAAGTCATCAAAAGACCGTAATTGGGATACTAAAGTTTGGGTCGAGAAAAAATTCTCAAAATGAAGGTAAGTCATAAATTCGCGTCCTGGGATACGTATGGACTGAAATAATCCAATATATGGCATATGCGCAAGTCTTATCTTCTTGTACTAATACGAGTATGTGCAAATAATATAATAAATATCATAAATGCTTCGTTATCAAAGAATATTGTGCAAAACGCGTCATCGACAGCCAATATGCCATGTTTGTTCAGAATACAAAAGTTCAACGATTGAGAAACGTGATATAACGATATCACAATGTCATACGGCATTACAATGTCATAATAACATAGAGGTGTCGGCTAGACAGCTCTTGTACATATGTGCAAACAATAAATTGTAATCATACAAGCTATATTTAACAAATAAATGAACAAAACAAGTTATCGACAGTCAATATAAAATAATATACCATGTTTATTCAAAACTTTAGAGTAAAACGGCAAACGATATTTTAATATTTCAGTGACTAGATATATAGTATAATGTCAAAATAACATTGGAAATAAATTAATGATAATATTTATTTCTAACTAGGATCTCTTAACTGTTTATTTTTCTTGTGTACTAATATTTGTCATAAGTAATACATAACTACATGGACATTGTGCCTGTTATGTTGAGGTCGATTCCATAGAATAACATTCATATTACACAATGGATGGCCTGGGAACTGAGACATAGGTGCAAAGAATGGACAATGGAAAGATATCAGATAATTCAACCGGTTTTCATTTTGTATACAGTATATTGTAGTCACTTGGCGTGGCTTTCAAGATACCACATGTGTAAAGGTAGGTCACTCAACTTGATAACTATCATCAGTTTCGAAGCTGGTCATGACACTACATTTCTGATTTCTACGGTAGGTCTACCGATCAATCCCAAATATCATCCGTTAGAGATTGTATAACGATGAAGCACTAACTATATTTTGATGAAATATCTTGTATTTCAGGTGTGTGCTAAATTTGCGGGGAATAGAGATTCCCACAATGTATCTCTTTTGCCCAGACAACAAGACAGTTCCAACTGCAGAACAACATGTTGACATACCCTCGCTTACATTGAAGCCAAGGAAACAATTGATAAGGTCGAGAAAATTTATCGTTAACCCAGATTTAGAACCCAAAGAGACTCCGCATTCAAGAAGCATCAGCGCTCCATCGTTGACAATCGTTTTACCACGCGTCACTGAAGAAATTCCTGGAAACGACCATTCATGCGATCGTCTACGGAATGAAAGCGATGTTGGATCTCTCAATGTTCCACGGCAGAAAAGTCGCGATATTTGTAAAGGAAAGCCGTTCATCAATACTGAATTTCCGTTTGCAATCTACGTGGACAACAATATGAAGAAAGACGAAGTTACAATGAAGCAGAAAGGCGTGCTCCCACAAGTTGATGGTCGTTCGTATCATGGCGACCGAAACGAAAATAATGCAAATCGAACGATAGAAAAAACAATATCAAATTCAAAGAACGATCTTAGTTCAACAAACCTGCCAACTCTTAGCCAGAGGCAATTTTCATCCAATTCTGACAACACTGAAATGCGAAAGAAAAACACAGACATGAGACGTGGTCAATCGTTACCAAACATTGCTTCAGCTTGTGGTGCATTTGAAATTATAGACAAAGAGGTTTCACCCCTCCATTCAATTGAATCGTTACCCAAAAGACGACCAACGAAATCAAACGCGAAACAAACTGTCACAAAACACCGAAGAAGTAAAAGTACAGATCGGACTGCAGAAGCTGTTGCTACAGATCAAGAGACGAAAATCTTAGCCTCCATATTATCAACAAAAAGACAATCTTCAAAACATTCAAAAAAGAAAGTTAATTTTGAAATTCAACAACACAAATCAGCGAATAAAGCAGATTATAATTGGTTGGATTGGAGCGTTTATAAAACAGAAGGACAGTTGAACAATGAGCGAAGTTTATCCCCATCGAGCTTGGCTGCAAGAAAGGGTAGCGCAAGAAATACTACACGTGGTGAATTCAACACTGATTGCGAGTTGTCTTCAGACGATTCCAACAGTAAAACATCGGATTCTGAGACTGCTAGTCCCGAGGACAATTCTGAGAAAATGTGTATACGAACTACCAGGTCAATGGACAATTCAAAGAATTTCGAAACAAAACAGCCTGCAGTCGATATTATTTCGCAAATTCCGAAAAACACGATTATCGTATCCAAACTGAGAATCTCAAGGTATCTTGATAAAGGTAATACATTGTCATTAAACAAAAATATCGATGGAGAACTAGCCTCTAATGAAAGTAAAACAATGGAACATAAAAGTCGATCGTACTTGACTGAGCAACGGCCTTCAGATGTGGCATCTTTGCAAAAATCTATAGATACTGATAACAAAACCAATGATGACCGAATAGGCAATCAACAAACACATTCCGATGTCCTAACCGGATTTTTTACTTCCCACAAGAAATCCTTGAGACCAAAATACCAATATAATAAAAAGAACAAAGATAACAGTAATAGCAATGCAAGATGTGATGCAACGGGTGAATCGGAAGATAAACCAACCTTCCCATCGAGTCCAAAATCACACAGCCTTTCGGTTCGTCATGCAATACATGGTCTGCGGAGAACATATACTAAGCTTGACAAAATAGAAACAAGATTTACCAAAAACAACACTCATGCAAAACAGCATGCTAAGAATAGTGACAAATCAGACCCCAGACGAACAGTGCAATCAAAAACTACGAAGACCTCAAAAGTAGATCTTAATTCTGTGTCAAAAGCAAAACAAACGAATCATATAGAAAAGAAATCAAAACAAAACAGTGATCATATACATGAAAATAAAGATGAAGCCCTTCACCATGATGATGAAGGCGATGTTGCATTCGTAAGAGACGAGGAGCCTACTCTTAAGGAGTACAATCCAGATTTCAATACAGTTCATGATGACAACAAGCCATCGAGGAAACGTGGAATGTTTGGGTTTGAAGACTATACCAAATTCCAGCATTCTAAATTCGAGAGAGATAATTCTGGTCTCGCGAGGAAAAATTCAATCCTCGGTAAAGATAATTCTTTTCTTTTGTCAACGATAGGTCCAGTGAGGCTGGATCGTGATGCAGAAACAGTCAATAAACTAAGGAAAGTCAAAATAGCCGAAGAAGTCTCAAAAACCTAAAAAGCGTGTTGAATTATCAAACTTTCTCGCTATAGTCTAGTGAGTTTATTTTAAGATAGGTTCCCAGAAAAATGCCATGGGCATTTAAAAAAAAAATCTGATGTCACACATCTGATACCAAAATATATTTCCTATTTTTATGTTACCACCAAAAAGTGACGACATATCTCCGTTTTTGTGACGGCAGCTTGTGATCGGCGGGTGGCGGTTGGCGTCTGTAACAAATTCATAAAACTTCCAATAACCTAACGAAAACTACTATAATCATCTACAAGTTTTCAGAAGTTCGAATCTTACTTTAAAATTAAGATTTGATCTTCAGTGACCTTTTCAAGGTCAAAAAAAGGTATTTTCAACTTGCTTCAAATTGACCAATATTTTTTCAAAATCATCTAATTTCTAAAGTTCAAATCCGACTATAGATTTGGCCTTCAATGACATTCTCTTAATGACCTTTTCAAAGTCAAAAAGGGCCTTTTACAACTTGCTTCAAATGGTGTGAGTCATATTTTCGTTAACGTGTCAAGGTTATGATGCTTGTTAGCTCCTATAAGCATAAAGAACTTCAAAAATAAAAGCTTGAATACCAGATTCCATATTTACTCTTGAAATTTAATTAAAAAGTTGGACGTTTTTTTGTTCTAGTTTTGACCTGTCATCGCCACTGGTTTTCTTCCTGTCATCCTCTTAGGTTTTCAATTTTGAAGTTAAAAGTAACATTTGGCAGCAATTTACTGTGTGAGCACAGGATCTTATCATGGACTGCTTTCGAATGATGTGTGGCTATCAAGAGCAAATCTGACACTAATATCACCCTGTATAGCCCCTGTATGTAGACTCTGATAGCTGGATATGGATAGACTTAAAGATGAACAAGATAAATGCTCACCACATATGCTATTTGAAATAATAAATAAAAAATATTTTGCAACACAAGAACAAAATAAATATGTACTTATTTCGTTATATATATATTGCTAACTTTCATACCAATCCTTATACAGCTTCCTTAACAATCATATACTGATAACAGAAAATAGTCATCCACAAAAATACTGAAATATGAAGACAAGTTTAAAATAAAATGAATTTCCAGTTTTCTCAACAAATGATTGTTGAACAAAAAGCAAGTTATAAGAAGCTTCAAATAAATTAAAAAATTATTTCCAAAATGCATGTGTTCATGAAGGCCATTAAAGGTAGAATCAGGCTAAAGACCTTACTGTTCTTCAACTGATCATCGGTTGATGCTTTGCACATGTCATGTAAAATAAATTCATCATTTGATAAATATCATACATCTGATATTTTAGATCTCAAATTTGGAAAGGTAAAAGACACAGTCTCGGGTGTTCATGGTGTAATATTTCCATGATTCTAGCTTTAATGTTTTTCCTTTTTAGCATGAAACAAACACCTAATTGATTTATAGATGTCACCTCAATACGATTCCATTAGACACTAGTGACATCTATTGGGCTAACAAAGTAAAATAAAATATTCAGTTCATTCAATGATGTGAGCTCTACCTGAATTCATTTCTGAGTTGGCGATTTCTCTTCAATGGATGACTATAACCAAACTTTAAAACATCAATACGAAATCTAGCATCAAGGGTAATAACCAGGCCTCACCATACCATGAGCATTTGATCAAACAGCTGCTAAAATGTTTAGACCCTTGCTGAGCTACAGAGCAAACTCCCAATATCATGAGCTCTGGTTATTTCATGTGATTATTGTAACTTTCTTTCAATAATTGTCAAATCTCCCTCCCAGCAAATCTTCCTGAGGTTTCATTTAGTACACTTATGTAAAACACATACTTTGATATAGCTAACTAATCACAATACTGAATAGTGATACTTCCCTATTCCTTCCCCTTCAATCTTCAAAGGTATACAAAACAAAATGGCATAGACAACTGAATACTAGAATAGTATTACAATGTCCTGATTTGGTGATATCTGATTTCTCTTAACCCTAAGTATTATAAAAGCACGGTGAGTGGATCATGAAATGTTCTATTGTTGAAAACTCGATCAGATGTAATAAACATATTTTTAGATCCACAAATATCAAACTAAAAATAAAGCTACTGGTGCATATTTCAATAATACTTGGGACTTATTTGTACTAGTCCATATGCTATAGTTACATTTCAGGCTCATTCTGATTGGATTGGCTTCACTGATTAAGTAGATATTTTCCCTTCATTTTGAATTACGCTTACAATGACTAATTTTGTGTGACACAACATGAGGCCATTTATAGTGTAATATATGTTTAATGTCACCTCTTTTCTACTCTTTGACAAATTTTCAGAAAAGAACAATTTTATGTGCCAAAATAATAATTCAAATGACAATAGAAAATAAAATTGTGTCCTTTGATCATATTATTTGTGAAGGGAGTTGCCATATTGAAAACTTTTCATGTATCAATCGCTATCATAGTATCTGTTTTAGTATTTCTATTATTGAGTTGAATTTTGATTTCTTTTCAGCTCCCATCCTCTTTGGACCTTCATCAGGAAGTTAAACTTATAATTAACTTTGAATGGCCTAAATTGACACATAATTTTGATATATTATTCTTAAAAAATGTACTAATGAAAACGATGTGAAATGATACATGGGCTAATGGGCTAGTACATCTCAAGTACCAATTCAAAAAAGATTTGCCTTGTGCTCCAGATTTTCAAATGGGCAAATTATCACCCTAATTTCCCATATACCATAACTTTACCCACATGGGAAGCCATTTGCCAGACAATGTCTATAGTTAAAACATGATATCGCATATGACAATTTATACAATATATTAAAATAGTCACATGATCTATACAATTTCTACATTAGATATCCCAATGAGGGAATGTAACTGTACACTATTTTACAAAGGGGTCAGACCAACCTTATATTTACAAAATTGTCCCAAGGAAGCACATCAGTTTTCTTAATTTATGCATATCCAGGTATTTGTCTCTCCTCCTTTAAACAGATGAAATAATGTCACTTTAAAGTCCAGTTTAATACCGAGTCAATATCCAAGATTAGAGAAAGTTTCACCATCTTTCAGTATTTGGTGCATATTTAACAAAATATGGTAAATTAGAACTTCTTTTACACTTCAGTCAAAATCATGGTTTTCACCAATGTAAATTATTAAGAGACAGCACCTGTCTCATGCCTTACTAACAGAGAATGGCTTAATGGATATGATATTCAAACTAATAAAAACTGATCATCAATGACAGTAGAAGATCCTATGTGCAACATTGGGACGTACAATGCTCAACTCAGCTAACCAGCAGAACAACTATTATGACACCAATTACCCTTGTATATTTACAGACAACATTCAAAATATTATGAAGCAGACTAAGCAACAAATACATTTTGTGACAATCAATGCCAACTTGAAACTATTGTATGTGTGTATACACAAATAAAAAGTGTACATTAAGTAGTTATAATGAAATATGGCAATCAATTGGGTGCTTTTTATTATGTCATTGAGATCTCCTACTTTTTATTCTGCTAAAGTTCACGGATATTGAAATAACATACCAGTAAATATTTTAAGTATTAAACTCGTAGCACTCTGGAACCTTTTAGCAGATTTCAACCTTTGGTCTAGTTAAATACACCCAAAAAACAAAGGTCAAACAAAATTTAAAAAATAGAAGTTATGAGAAACTTAAAACGTTTCCCTTCTTTAGCAGAACTACTAGAACATAGCCTTTGTAGTTTGATGTGAGAGGCATCTCACTGGTGATCCACTCGATAACGCTGGTTACCGAAACGGTTCGTTTCGGTAACAAAATGTCGGAACATCAAAGGTACGATTTTTCTTTCTTCCATATCTCACATGTTGTAGGCAGACATTTTTAACACACACATGTATCAGTATCATATGTTTAAGAAAATGTCGTCGATTTGATTCCTCACTTAAGTTACAGAAACGTTTTTTCCAAAAACAGTTAAGATCTGCACTTTTAACCCAAACCGTTTATGTAACTTAGTGATGAATTAAATCAAACATTCTGTTGTCTTCTGAGCTATTTTTTTCGCAAACATGAACATTTTCTAAAACATATGATACTGATATACGTTTGTGAGAAAAAACGTCGTGGAGATTCTGCCTACAATACATGAAATAAGGAAAAAAGAAAAATCGTACCTTCGACGTTCTGACATTTTGTTACTGAAACGAACCGTTTCGGTAACCAGTGTAATCGAGCGGATCACCAGTGCATCTATCAGCAAAGCAGGATTTTAATAGTGAGACGTTTTTTTTATGGCTAGATGGCCTAAACAGCCCAACATTGTCATCATATGTGCTTTAATATGGGGTCGATTATCTATCCCTTCATGATCTGAAGGGCAATCATATCACACACTTCTATGTACAGATACAATGCACTCCCTGTATGTAGATGGTACACTTCTCAAATAAGGTGCATTATAGGATTCAGATGTCAATTTACCAATGCGTCCATTAGGTTAACTGCAGGAAAGGACACTCATTTAAATATTTTCCATGATATCAAAAACATGCATCTTGTCGAGTCGGAAAATATCAGTTGGCCCTCATACTTATTGGATGTAAAAAAAACTAATCGGCTAATGACTCTTTTGCTCCACCCAGCTTTCCTCTATCAAAGTCCTTTTAGTGGCTTGATTAGAAGAGCTTTTATGCAACACGGATGACATGTAAAAATCCAAATCCAAATAATAAGACAAAGACCTTTATATGTTTATGAACTGCACAAATCATATAAAGGAAGCAGTATCTCATACTTGAGTGGGTTTGGGGTAGATATCACCCGGGAATATATATCATATCTGAGGAGCGGGCAGTATATATTATATATGTCCCGCTCCAGGGCAAATGCGGGCAGATATAATATATCCATCCCGCTCCCGGGAATTTTTCAAGTTTTAAAAATTTAAAAAAAATTAACATTTGAAAGTTTAAAATTTGTTAAAAAGTTTAAATGTTACAATTTCATTGTATTGAACTAAAGGAATAGTACGAAAATGTTAAATACAAATTGTGCTTTTGCAGTATAGGCCTATCTTGTCATTTGAAAAAGGTGGAACCCCAAACCCACTTAAGTATGAGATACACCAGTTATGTACGATCGGTTTTGGATATAGGGTATATCCCTCGGGAAATATTTATATCTCCCCTTGGTCCCTTCGGTCCCTCGGGATGATATAAATATATTCCTCAGGATATAACCTATATCCAAAACCTCCCAGTACATAACCCTTATTTATGCAACATGCATGATGTATATGAGCTTATATATAAAGTCAAGTGTCTGCTGGAAAAGCCAAGTTGAACAATGCTTACAATATAATAGCCTACATCCGAAATGAAATCTGTGTTCATGGTATATACATTGATGTATTGAAACATAAATTATCTTCATGATTTAAATATTGATAGGTCAAACGATGTATTATGCTAAGTATGATTTAACACACAATCAAGATCTGCAACATGCAGAATGAAGAACAGCATGGGCAAAGGTAAAATATCAAGTTTTTTGCTAATTCAACAATGGCTCAAATGAAAGTAGTCTTGCTTCAAAACTGTGGACCCCCTCCCCCCTTATCTACTTCACCACCACAGGGATGTGTGTAGGCGGGGGATGGGGTTCACAAGGGCTTGTAGCTAGACTTAAAGTAAAGGCTCAAACCAATTTCCTCTTAGCTCAATTTTCTAATTAAACTTATCCAATATCATCGCACACTCATTGTTGCTTATCTCATACAAAACCAGGCTTTCTACCTTTAAATTGAAATAAGTTGAAAGAATGACATTGAACTAGCCCTTAAAATTAGTTTTAATGGTTCATGAACACAGTTTCATTCCATGGTATAATTTACAAAAATATTCTAAGACTTTGATTGTTGTCACTGCCACAGTTTGTGTAGATGCAGGTTCCGACTTAAAACTGATCTGATGTCTGAGACGAATCGTAAAGCATCTAACATCGGGAGAAGATTGAGAAGTGCTGTGTCTGTCGGGTCTGAGAACCAAGACTTGATAGGTATTGCATTATCTGGAAAACAACAGGCATTGCATTGTCTTGAAAACAACAGATATTGCATTGTCTTGAAAAAAGGTTTCAGACTTTTTCTCAGATAAGAGGTTATAACAATATCTGAACAAGGCATTAACATGTGAAATGTCACTACCTGCCATTTGTTACAGAAACCAAAAACTGAACACCAACCGCTGAATGCCAATGACCATCCTCAAAAATAGTTGGACACTATCAAAATATGTCACAGCTTCTGGTAATGATATAAGAACAGATGTTGCAAGTATCAGGAAATCTAAATTTAAAAAAATCTAAAATCTGTTTCCTATTCTTGTTTTAAGAGGTAATATTTTTGAAGTATGGTCATTACAATTTACATTAATACATTCAAACTGACATTTATCAAATTATGTCATTTTATGCTGATAATTAGATAGCATGTTTTGGGGTTTTTATTCATAAAAAACATTTGAAAGCAGTAATTTTTTATACACTATGAATAAATATAACATGAAACTGAATTACATATACAATATCGCTTCGTAGTACTATAACAATCATTTCAGAATTTTCATATATCAAATTAAACCCATGTTTTTTTTATGCTAACTTACTCCGAGAACACTTACCTGGGTATGCCCTGTAGGCCCCAGGGGAGTTATAAACTATGAAAACACTTACCTGGGTATGCCCTGTAGGCCCCAGGGGAGTTATAAACTATGAAAACACTTACCTGGGTATGCCCTGTAGGCCCCAGGGGAGTTATAAACTATGAAAACACTTACCTGGGTATGCCCTGTAGGCCCCAGGGGAGTTATAAACTATGAAAACACTTACCTGGGTATGCCCTGTAGGCCCCAGGGGAGTTATAAACTATGAAAACACTTACCTGGGTATGCCCTGTAGGCCCCAGGGGAGTTATCAACTATGAAAACACTTGACAAATCTGTGCTTATTGCAGACAGGTCTTTAGTGTAGCTACCAAAGTCTAGATTACAATGCTGAAACACAAACCAAAACAAGTAAAAAATCAATTCATTAGTTTCTGGAATCTCAAAAATGTTTTAATAGCACATTTTGTATTGTAAAATTCATGAAATCCAGGTAGAATTTCAAGCTAAGTATTTTATCTGTCAATGTTGTGATGAGATCAGATCTGATATACAGGCCAGGTGTTCCCCTTCACAAAGGGGTCATACCAATATTCAATGAAAACACAAGTTTTTTCAAAAACTAAGATAAATTATCAAAAATGTTGATAGAATCGTTCAAAATTCTTCATACATTTTGTCTTTTAGCAAATCTCACAATTTTAATCAGAAATGCATTTCAAGTTATTTTGAAGATTTAGATTTCAATTGCTTTAATGCTGGGATCACTTGCAATAGAATAGGTTCACGAGCCTTGTAAAATTTTGTACTGATTTTGAATAGCAATTTTTGTCATAACTCCCTTCAATAATGATGACCTATTTCAAACAAGTTCGATATGATATTCCACAAGTTGCTTTGAATAAATTGTTGGAATACAAAATAATTATGAGATAACCCCCAAGTTTCCTGGGAAAAATGTTCCACTCTGAAGGTTAGCTAATACATGCTGTACAAGCATACTGCCAGCCTATAGATGTTTATTCCTTAGAGCAGATTCCGGATTGCGATTTAAACTGTATTAAGTTAATGTAAAAGAAAATGTTCAGTAATTTTAATTGTACTTTAAATTAAAAATTTTGAAGTGTGTCAAATGAAATCTCTCTGGCTGTAGTCAGATAATGCATAATATTTGAATCAAAAGTATTTTTACATGTAGAAGAGAAAAACGATTTTGTAAAAATGCATCAAACAGTGCCAAAAACTTTTTAGGCCAAAAAAGATTTTAGACATACCCACAACCCAGTACACTTGGTAGCTTGGATATGTAATATTATAAACACCACTTTACTAACCTGCCTATAATATCTTCTTTTTAAAACACCGGTACCATTGTCTAATTTGTCGGCAACTGCTGCACCGTAGATCTCCATACTGGCTGTAAATACTACCAAGTCATACCATTGGGATACCTACAACATGAATTTCAGATTTTTTACAAAAACTATTCACACATGACATCCCCACTTCTCCAGATATCTTGTGGGGGATGGGTTGAGCGGCTGAGGGGGAAAGGACTCTAAGCAATACTAAAAATACTGATTTACTTTCATTTTGATCATACAACTTCTGACAACAACTGAACAAAAAAATATGAAGTTGTATGAATACAGTATTGGCATTGCTACTAAATCAAACATGCTAAATAATATGAATAATATGAAATGAAAAATGAAACTACATCTACATAAATATCAAAATAGGTAAGAGAGTATTGGACACGGGTAAATCATGATGTCATATTGGGTTCTGAAATTCATTAAAAGTACCTCATTCTATGAAACAAACATCGAATCGATGTCATCCTCATCAGGTATAACTGATTATTTCATTACACAAGAAATTCAAGTGAAACCCTGAACTTGTGGGGGTCAACCCAGTTGTCCGAAAATTAGGGGATATATATCTTATTTGAAAAATACAATTTTTTTAAACGAATCTCCTTGTCGCAACCTCTGTGAATCACAACATAACATTGGAATAACGTTGACATCATTGCAAAATTAGGCTAAATATGCTAAGTCAAGACGTTAATTCTTTAATGTTTAGCCTACGAAAGTTCATATACAGGTGATATAGATGTTCAAACAAACAAAGTTAAATTATGTTATTCTCATTGTAAAATGGCGTTTACACAACATACATAGATAGGGGTCTGCAATTTTTAAACCAATTTTCTTTATGGCCCATGGGCCTTTTTTGAGAGGGAACAACATTTTTCCAATCGGTGATGAGCGTTCATAAAAAGAAAAATAGCTTTCCCAAGCCAGTGGGCATTTATTTAGTAAAGTTGACATGTACATCTTTTGAAACCAAAACTTATTCTTCATTTACGTACTCTGTTCGAGAAATAGAGATTAAATTAAAAGGATGAAGAGAGTACATGGCGAAAATGAAACTTCTTGCGAATGGGAGAACATCCATTTTGATACGAGGACAGCCTGCCTTCGTTTCTAGTTGATCCTAAGTGATTAAGTTAAGAATGTTTTGTTCTTTTACGATTTGATAAAATACAGAGACTAAGAAATTAAATGCGACGAAATATTTTGACAACGTAATATGTATACTGTTTTATTTTTAAAGTACTATATGCGTAAACTTATTTTATCTGTTTCAAAATGATTCATTTTATTTTGCCTAGCCTATATAAAAGAGATTGAAGAAGATAAGATAAACTGTTCCGTAATATATATTGTGTTTTGATAATCTTTTTTTAGAATCACAATGTAAAATAAATCCCCCGTTCCTGCCATTCTGGTAACGTGTGCAATGGATGCAATTCAAAGTGAGAGAGAGAGATCTATGAACATCAGAATGCGTCCATGCCATTAATTTGGCCAAATACATTGCATGAAACTGGCCTAAGCTTAGTACGTCTCCCCTTTCTCTGGTAAATTATGACTATATTTTTCGGAGTAATGGGTTTCGGACAAGTGGGTTTCGGAGAACTGGGTTTCGGACAACTGGGTTTCGGAGAACTGGGTTTCGGACAACTGGGGTCAGGCCTGTCAACTGTCCCGCAATTTGCGTATTTGTCACGCATTTGCTGAAGAATTTGAAGTCACGCCAGTTTTTTTTGCGTGACACAAAATGTCACGCAAATACGCATTTTACCTGGTAATTGTCACGCAAATATGTTTCTGTAAAAAAATTTTCAAAATATGTTTATGATACGGTAAAAATACGAACGTCGGAAAAAAACGAACGCAATTTGTTCGGATTTGTCACGCGAATCCTGTATATGTCACGCATGTTCATTGGAAATTTTCGTACCTACCCCCCCCCCGTTGACGAAATCGCGAGCGTAGCGAGCGCGAAAAATTTGAGGTTATAAAAGTTTAGCAAAGGTGCTCAAACTTTGGCCAAAGGTGTTTAAAAGTTGGCCAAAGGTGTTCAAAATTTGGACAAAAGTGTTCAGATTTGGACTTCGGTGTCCAACATTTGTAAGTCACTCATATTAGGTGGTCCCAAGTTGACAGCCCTGTGGGGTGCACCCGAACTTGTGAAGCTTGGGGATTTGCATATTCTATTGAAATTCTTTGACAAAACACACCTATAAAACACTGCAAAATCCCCCTTTCAGACAAAAAGATCATGATTAAAACCTCTTACTTTTACTGATATTAGATAGACAAGAATGGTTTGGAAGGTCAATTTTTCTGTAAATATGTTTTGACTGAGAAATAAAAAGATAGATTTGATCAATTTCAAGAAATATCTGTTTCTAAATAGCCTTAGAGAGTGACCAGATCAGTCTGACCTTGAAGTTTTAACACAGGCCATCAATTTCACTTCCAAATATGGAGCTGTCAATCAAAATATTGAACTGTGTGGAAAGTAAAAGTTATTTTTAGTTTGACTGATGTGGATGATGTTCATCTTGAATTGTTCTCAAATTGAATTTCTGTAACATGCTCAAAATTTCATTTGTTAGCATTTAAAATGTGATTTTTAATACATATATGCAGGTCATAAACAAATCAATATTCATCTTTAAATTGTAGATATGCAATAAACAAAAATATCAAAATAAATACGTTATAGCTGGTGTTTAAATTATAAAAAAAGATCTATCTTAAAATTCCAAAATGAAAAGATCTATCTTAAAATTCCAAAATGAATAAAAGAACTATTTTAAATTCTAAAATGCACCTGGATCAAATAATTATATACAAAAATAAAATGTGTAATATATATAAGTAAAAAAAACATACAGGATGAAGTTATTCAAGCCAAACTTAGTGAAGAGCTCATCCAGAATGAAAAACTTTCTTGTTCAGGAACAAGAAAAGCTCATCCCTTCACAGCTTGTGGCCCTTAAATCACAACAAAACATTTCTCTTTCAATATTTTACACCAAGAGAAATCCATTCTTTATACTCCTTCTCATTGAAGAGTTTTGAAGAGCTTTTGCTATTAAATAAACCTAGACATGACAATCAATTTATTTTAATCTATTCACGTTCCGTGACGCCTCTAGACCCAACCACCATTACAGACACCAACTGCCATCATAAAAATGCAGACCATAACAATATGTCACCACTTTTGGTTGTGACATAATACATTAGGAGAGATATGTATGTACTTACTATTTCTAAGAAGAAATCTACATGTGGCCTTTTATGTACAAAAAATCTCACTGGATGTCTGTCAATGACAACCTGAAAAACATAAAATGGAACTTTTAAAGCACACTATTTTCAAGGGCATCTTATTGTGAAAATGATAATTGCGTAACTTTCCACGGAACTGATGTACTATACCCATACCAGCACTGGCTTGCAAAAATGCTATGAACACTAATGATTGCATTGATCCACCAAGGTTAGGTATGAGTCTACTGAACAAATTGGCAAAGCCAGTAAAATAAGGGTCAGATCAGAAGTTTGATATAAGATTTATTATTTCTCATTAAGTTTCTAAATTGAAATGTCTTTTGGTAGCCTGTTTCTTTCATCCTTCAAAATCCACATTTATTTTTAATTAAATCTAATCTTTAGATATTAGTTTTAGTATCATCAAAATCCATATCAGGGGCAGAATCTAGCAGTTTACTTAGCATTTTCATGAGGTGGTTGTATGCTACTGCACATGGCTAATTTGTTTGGAATGAGAAATGGTGTTCAAGCTATCGTCCAGATAAAAATTATGTGAGTTAGTAAAAACTGAAGGGACAACAGCAAATATTGTTGCTCATATCAAAATTAAAAATTGCAAATCGTGGAACCCCTAGTATCCCGGCCCTAGTATATAATAAATCTGCTAGATAATTTTGAGTTGCTCCCTCACTCTACTGAAATAACTACTTCTGTAATGATCTAATTCTCTCCTTAATTTACTCTAAGTATTGCAGTTCTACATGCTACAGGAAAGGAGGTACGGATTCTGGACACCTGCAGGAGGATGCATGCTACGGCACTCTGACACTTTACAGTCATGATAGCAGTAAAAATGAGCCGATAAACTTGATTTTCATAATCATATTTCCAAAATAAATAAAAGTGGTATTATCTAATCTCCACATTACAAGAGTACCTAGAAATATGGATTGGAAGTCTGAACTTCATCAATTAATTGATTCAAAACAAAATTTTTAGGATTTAAATCTTCTTCCCCTCATTATGATGTAAATACTGAAGGGATAATGTAATTTACAAGATAAATGTCACAAATTATTAAATTAACTTCTTATTTCCTTATAATAAAATCGGTTTATTTTACGCAAATACTGTTGCATTGAGCAAACAGAAAACATTAATCTGTTCATTACAAAATCACCATGGGGCTGGCTGAGAGTTTGCATCTGTTTTATGGAAGCTAATTAAACAGTATTTATAGGGATGAACACAGCAGTCTGTATTCCCCATTTTTCTCAAATGGTTGAACCTTTCTCATCTTTCTTGTTTCAATTGAGACATGTTGAAATAAAATTTACCAGTATATTCATTTATTTTCATGTTTTTCAACTGGGCACCTGTTATGAATTCTAAACTGGGAGAGTTGTGGTAACACTGTATGTTCCATTGACAAAGAGCAAAGGACAGAAGAATCAAGGTACTGTGTGCAGGCCAGTAGCCAGGGGGTTCAATGGGTTTGAGCGAACTCCCCCCCCCCCCCGGCCAAAAAATCTTTCAAAATCATGCAGTTTTTCCCTATTCTGAGAATTTTTAAGTGTTTTTGGCCATTTTTGGACCAAAATTGTCACAAGTGTACCCCCCCGGAATTTTTCAAAAAGTGAGCTCCCCCTTGGCAAATCCTGGCTACGGGCCTGGAGTGACAACTAAACTATTCATCAAAATTGGTCTACTTTATTAAATGGTACTGGCCAATATGCAAGGTTAATCTTATCTAGATCTAGATCTTAAAACATTGTTCTGACTGGCCAATCTGAGGGTAATAATCTAGTAACAGTCTACTCATATATTGGTGGACTGTATCATCATTCCTTGATCTCAACTCAACAAAGCTTACAATGGAGGTTTACAACATTTCCAGTCTACCTCTGGAGGGAACAACAATTGTAGACTCCAAGTCTGTACTTACTTTTAAAACAAAATCAGGTGGCGTGCCTGGTTTGACAGTTTGACGCAAGACACCATCATGATGTGAGTGTATCAATGTTTCATCTAAATCTAGAATCATTGTTTTTCTTTTTACCATACCTGAAAAGAAAAAAGGGATATTTATCAATATGTCAATCTTTCATTTTAGTGTACACTAGCATGTCTATATAACATTTGACAGTCCAAAAGTCCAATTTTAAGAGTGGTGTTTTATCTGTATTCTGTCAAATTACATTCAATCACAATATAGTACATTGCAATACTGCTCTTAAACGATAAAAATACAACATATTTTACTATTAACTTTACACTAGAACATAAATTTTAACTTCCTCATGGTTAGGATTTTTCCAACTTTAGAATCTGAAGTTAAGATTACACAAATTATTAAATTATTTTTAGTATATAGTACTATGTAAACTCGAATTAGAAAACAACAAAAAATATTTGTTTTTTCTTTCACCACTTGCGGATGGTATGAACTATAACGGTCATTTTTGAATATCCCTCCAAAGCATAGAATTTGAAATTTCTCATTCAAGGTAAGCTTTTGAGATGCCACTTGAAGACTTTATACATGTATATCTTATATGTTGGTTACTTAATTATATTCATACATGTGTCGAATATAACTTTAGTGTAAAGTTATGAACACAATTTAAAAGTGAAATCATTTCAATTGTCATTCATATAGCTACCAATATAATGACAGACAGATGGACAGACAGACGGCTGGACAGACAAGCAGTGAAAAATAGCTCATCCGTGTGAGCTAATAAATAGCCCTGGATTTTGGCACTACAAGTGAGACTGCAAACCTATTATGTTGTCTAAAACCTCTTTACTCTCTTTACAAGGTTAGGTAATCAATAGCTGTCAATATTATACAGTGGCCTGTTGAAGGATGGAGAGCAGTAAGAGATGAACTAAACACTGTACAGTAATTTTGATAACCAATAAATCATCTAGTAGCTTCTCTTGACTTCACCATGCTGAGACTACAGCAAGTATTCAGCATCAGATTTAGAAATGTACTCTACTCTTCTATAGCAATGCAGCTACTAATCACTAATGCACAGAAATGGCAAGAGGTTAACTGTGTTATTAAATTATCATATTTAGCCTAAATTAAGGTTTCAAGGTAAAAGGAACATGTAGCACAATAAAAGAGAATTTGGCTATAATGTATAAGTCAATCTTATGCTTAGATGTATGAGATCCTTTCGCAAAAAACAAATGTAAATACAACAAGGCAGCAAAAGATGGTAGAGTATATTCAATAAAATGTGCAGTAATGGGCTAGAACAACCTGGTTGATACTCAACTTATTTTCATTTGATTTTACATCTTTAGAGTCTCATAAAACTAGTCTCTCTATCCATTCTTCTTTTTAAAGGCAGTGAAGCAAAAAGCGTAGTATAAACATCCTCATAAACACATGTTAGATAAGATACCAGTTGTACAGGTAAACATAAGAGAACAAGAGATACAGTGTTATGTTTAGTTTGTATCTTATCTTCACAACTAGGGAGTACTTAAGAGAACTTCACTGACAAACATGTGGCTTGCATTATCATAATGGGACATTATTTTAATGGTTGTAGTGTTTTATATTGATTTATTTTCAATACTAGAAATCAGCAACTCCGCAGAGTAGCAAATCCGAATGAACACTTCAAGTGAATTCATACATATCTGTATATATGGAAACATAGTATTTACCAGCTACTCTACCCTTGATTTGCAGATATTAAAGATATATCAGAATTTTACCAGTTAAGCATGGGTGACCATTTAGGAGTATCGAATTAACAAAAATTCCTATATGCCTACTGAACTTCTTTCATTGGGATTATAAGGGACTTATGGTCAGTACCAAGATATTAACAAGCAAGGCATTCACCACCATTTGTCACAGACGCCAACCACCAATTACCAACCCACATCAAAAAAAATGGAGACCATAACAATATGACACCACCTTTTGGTGTGGCACATAATAAAAATAAGGCATTAACATGCCAAATGTCACCATCCATCATTTGCTACAGATGCAGCCTGTGGAATTCCGAATACTGTCCATAAAAAAGTTAGAGACTATAACAGTCCTTGTGTGTCACCACTTCTGGTCATGACATAATTACCCTACAGTTCGGTATATTGCCCTCCCCTAAAAGATATTTAAATGCAACATTTAGTATGATTAAATTTTTCAAATTAAACTCACTTCATTTTTAAAGATGATAAACATTTAACAAAATGTAATAGACTTTATAATTCCCCTTAATGTAATTTTTGAGGTCAGAGCAGAGATCGATAAACTGACCTCGTCCCTATTATTAAACCACTTATCCAATCACTTTACAGTGAAGTAGCAATGAACTTGATAAAATAACACATTGTATCCAAAATGTACATAAACACTAAACAGTAATATAACCTGTCTTCCCCGAACAGCATGCTTATCGACTACCTGTGTTAAAAAAAAAACTTTCAAAAACAAAATGCCTTTAAACGACTGTTACAGCATTAACTTGATATGGTATCAAAATTGCTATTTTTTCCAAAATGGAGTATTTGGCAAATGACGATGATAGGTTAAACAGCAGAATTGACATAAAATGAAAATGCACACTACTCAATATGAATAGCAGTTTTTTTGTACCAGCAATGATTAAGGACCAATGGATGGACAATAGACTAATAAGCGATAGACAAAAACATGGTCATTAACATAAATATCTCCCGCAATGCATCACTGCAAGTGGGACAAATTTTCATTGGTCCGTTGATTAAACCAAATTCTCCCAGCCTTAAAACCATGTTTTTGCATATTGTCGAGGCGATAAAGGTAATACTAATTTCAAGTTACAACCCTCATAATTGATAAACATATATAAACATGTCATCAAACCCGCGTTATATATACAGGAATTTGCTTGTTTTTCATATTGAGTTATCGAGTCTCAGCTTCCGGGAACTAAAGTGTCAATAGAGAGCATTTCATGATTATCGTCAGTTTCGAAAAATATTCGTGAAAACGCTTGCAGATTTCCATAAGGACCTATATTTTTATCGATTGTGCAAATATCTGTGAAGAAGAATGTCAAATAATGCTGAAATGATGTATTCAAAATCGGACTCAGTATATTTCAATGGGGAAAATTGGAGCTCTTCAACAGGAGAGGTGAGAATATTGTTGTCATTCTGAACTTTCGTGTACACCTCTATTGCTAACCAGATCCCAAAATGTGTGATGTACTGATTTCAGAATCTCTTTACATCAGATATATCATAGATCCTCATGTTAGGCAACTGATAACAACACACCCCAATTATTAGATTATTTCAAAGAGATAAAGCTCTCTTTTAAAGAACTATAGGTAGATACATAGTTGTATTTCCTATTTTTAAAAAAAGCCTACAGTACTTAGTGTGTTCATGATGCTAAGAATCACTTTCACCGTGTATGTTATTTACGAGACTTGAACATACATAACTTGGTATTTAGATGCAGGTACAAGAGAAATATAATATCTAGCTAATTTAAAGAACAGATTTGGTTAGTTTTGCACCTAGCAGCAAGAACTAGGTTCTAGATCAGACTAGGTATTTCATAACTCTCAAATCCAACACTTGGGATTTTACAATTTCACAAGATTTCATAATTTTTCGTAATACTAGTATGCTTATTTTCATAGATTCTGACTTTTCCAGATCTAATCATCCTTTCATACATCGTGTATGTGTATCGTGTATACATGTGTATGATATACTTACTTAATCTGTGTTTAGACAGGGGTGAGAGAGGAAGTATTTCATAACGTACAGTCTGGTGCTGGATCACCTGAAAAGAATAAAAGAATTATTATTTCAAATGCTAATTGATTAGTTTTGATATCTTCATATTAAACTACTCATTTACATTTGTAACAGAAATCAGATACTGATTCTGAACTAATGTGATTTCATGAAAACAGTCATAAAAAGCCACATGGGATAAAAAATAACCTTGAGCCCTCAGGAAATATTATATTGTCCCTCTGAATAAAACCCATATCCAATCCCTCCCAGTAAATAACCTCTACATATCTCTTCTCAAATTTTGTTCTTAAAGTTTTGAATATACAGTAGATGTTTTATTTAGAACTGTAACTCTGATATAAAGGTATTCCCTAAAACACTGAACGAAAGAGACTAATGAACAGATATTTTTCAGGTAATGGGTTCTACCCATTGGAAAGCTTCACCCCCTCTGCATTTGTAGTAGGTTGGCTATAGACATTCATTCATTTATTCATTTATTTGAAAATATGGGATGTATATCTCATCTGAGCGAAACAAGGATGTGAAAAGGTCATCCTGTACAGTATTTCAGCGCAATAAAATGGGGAATCCCCTATTAAAAAACCCATGCATCACATCTGACATGTCTCCCTGTTAATCAGGGTGTATAAGTTATAAATATACTGGCTTTGAAAACCCCATTCCTTAAAAACCCAAGATGTATATATAACTGGAGTCCCCATATTGATCAGTCAGCAAATGCCTCCCACCCTGATCTGGTACTAGTCCTTTAAAAGTACTTAATTTGATGGGGATCTAGGTTGCCTTTAAATATCAATGGACTATTTGCTATATATAACTGGATAAATAGATGGCAGCATGGCAGAAATTTACATGTTCCTAATCATAAGATACAGACACATATTGGCTTTTATCAAACAAACACAATCGAAATACTATTATGGTATTCTCAGTTTTCAACTTCATGAAGAGGAATTATCAAGATCAGGGCTTGCATTAACGGCGTCCCGTACATGTTAAGGACTCAAAAATAATTTGGAGGACGAAAAAATTGAAAATATTTCCGTTTTTCGACGCAAAATTTTTTTAGGTCAATACTACAATGTGTTTACAATGATACCTAACAAAAACAAATAATTATGATCTCTCACCTTTATTTGAATCGTAAATAAGGCTCAACATGTTGAATATTTACAAATAATCATGATTCTCTCGAATTTTTTCAACTTTGTTTATATTTAGATTTGAAACCATGACACGCCACAGTTTTTCCTATTCAGAAACAAATATTAGGTTATTCATGAAATAAAATGTATTCATTGTCGAATGAACGAACATGCATTTATTCAGTACGTACTTAACGTTTACTTCCGTTTTAAATTCACGGCAAGAAATCAAAAACTGAAAGGTGTTTTAATAAAACAATAGGGGACACACTTTTTTTTCAAAGGACACACTTTTTAAAAAAATTGCGTCCTTGGGACTCACAAATTTTCTAACCTAATGCAAGCGCTGCAAGATGCTCATAAAGGGCTTTGCATGTCCTCATTACAATGTAGTGGTTAAAGGGGTTAGCTTTCTTAAACCTAGACACCTTTTTTAGCACCATTTTTGCGGTGATTTTACTTGTCATTGCAATTCGCTAATACGAACAGAAAAACAGGGAAATGTAATGGTGATTGTATTTTCTGCTTATTAGTGTTACCCAGCTCTATAGCGCCATATAAGTTCACCTGATTATGCAAATGAGAAGACCCCATTGGTTTCCCGGTAGAGAAATCAAAACAGACGCGGAGATCTTCATTTTAACTATTGTTTCTTAACGTTTCATGACCAAACATATAGAAAATATTTTACTTTATAAAGATAGATTGTTTTTACTTTTAGGATTCAATAAAGACAGAGATTCTATGATTTATGGCATATTTGATCATGACTGTATTCACGCCTTCTATAAACTGTCCACCATTGCTTAATCGTTGATTGGTCATACAATAGGTCACGTGTTAATACAGAGTGAATAAGAAACACAACTATTTAGTTAAATCATTCACTCCATTAAACTAGGTCAACGAGGGTGACACGAAGAGGTAAGATTTTTGAGAGATTTTTCCCACACTTTTGATATTTCATCAAATTACTTCTCTTTACACCAGATTTAAACTATTTAAGCTTGTAATATGTATAAGTAGTTTAAAGGCTGCAAAACGAACACAGAATGAAACTACGAATTATACGCAAACAGTCATACATGCCAGGGATCTTTTTGTAATCGAATTTGGATAGAGACTGATATGTTTTTTTCCACCCCTGCAATATGTTAAGACCACCTCAAAACATAGAAACGAACGACATCCACTTTAAAAGTTCCAGGTATCAAATTGGAATGTATGTATCATCCGACTAGAAAAAGCTTATTAACAACTTTTGAGCACATCTTTCAACTTTCGCCGGAAAGTTTGTGCAGATTTCCTTGGGCTACACCGATGAAATTGATACACTTTACTTTAAAATTAATTTTCTCTAAGATAGACTTGGTTTGGAGGCTGAATCCACAGTCAGAGAGAATGTTTCTGGCGAAAATTCTGGGACTTCAAATACTTTTAAGTTGGGAAACCGGAAGTGCTTACCTTTTTTAATTCCCGAATCTCACCGAATCTCTCCGAAATTAGCTCATCTTGGTGACTGTAAATTGCACAGCTGTATTCAATGGAGTCTTGTCATATTCGATCAGCCTCAATTTTAAAGTGTATATTTTATTTTCAATGTGATTTCATCGTTTTTTGTCGACTGGTAAGAAAACGCCGGGCAAATGGCAAGATGGATGACTTTTGACCTGACCTTGACCAATGGTGATCACGTCATCAATATTACCAAGATGGCGGTTTCAAAATTTTCTAAAATCGCTTCAAATAATATTATGTTAATTCCTAGCGAGTAAAGATATCTCTTAGTTTGCTATTTCACAATAAGATAACGAAATGTGTAAGGAATTCGTATTTATCAATTAAAACATCACATCGACATTTGGTATTCGTAAACTAGACGATGAAGATAACGACCTCAAAAAAAAAAAGAGCGAGTACGGGATTCGAACCTGGGCCTCCAGCGTGCTAAGCGAGGATTCTCCCTCTAGACCACCGTTATATTACATATCTTGTTGGGAATTAAACGCTACTTATTTTGAATGCTATGATTCGGAAGTGACGTCACGTTCTTCACGTTTTGTTTGAGAGCGAGAACGAGACGTGCCAGAAGCCCGGCTTTATTGTCAGTCGACTTGTTCAAAGTACATTTAGTAATAATTATCGCTTTTCAGAACAATTTAGGAAACAATATTTTCTATCTACGTCGATTACAAAGCATCTAAGGTACGTAAATTTATATGAACAACTGAGTCAATAGGGATAAATAGCCCAACGAGAGTCGGCGGTCTTGAAAAATACTTGGATCTGATGCCAGTCCTGTTATTGATATAGTTCCAGGGCATTCGAAGAAAGTATTAGATGTCCGTGGCTGAATCTGGGCTATTTTTCTTTGTAGGTGGTTTTGACCTACCCGGAAGCAGAATTTTCAAATCATCTGGAGTTATCCCTTGGAGTTATATCCATTTTTACGATACAAATCATATGTAAAAAGCTCTCTGTGCTTTAAATCAACGGGTTAGTTATACCAATTCATTTTCATTTTGAGACCATATGAATATGAGAGCAGTGAGCGTGGTAGTAAGCTGTCAATAAAGCGGAGGAGTCAGGATGGAGCTTTTTACTTTCGTCAAGCTTTGACTTTAGTCAATATAGAGGTCAGCTGACTAGAATTTAGAATTTAGGTTCCAGGCCTCAGTTTCATTTTAGAATTGAGCTTCAGTGAGGTCATAGTTCAAGTGATTCAAAACAGCATCAAGTAATAATACAGCCCAAGCGAATAACTATAAAAAATACAATGTGATGTTAATTTTTCAATGCTGATTCTATTGACCCGGGATTAGAAGACGTAATGATCATATTTGCATTTGAAATAATCGATCTTACCGATCTTGCTTGTCTCCGAAGGCAATAGCATATGAAACTCCATACTTTGGCAGCGAACAGGAAGAAACTCCGAAGTCCCATAACACAATATTTCAGCATACCAGATCATGTAGTTTCTCCGGATTCCCCGTGGTCAAAGACAATAAGAATGATGAAAGGTTTAGTCAATAAACAGTTATTATTTTGTGCATCCACTATTTTCAAAATTTCATACCGCCATTTAATTTTCCCATGAGTCTTGGTCGACTGCGCATTGTCATCGCGCATACTACTCGATCAACTAGTAAAACCGACCAAGCTTTCGCATTGAGACTGTGCGGTCCGTTGATTGAAGTTACCATTGATCCAATATATTTCTGATGGATTTCTGACTAAGTTCTCTGCTTTTGAAATACTTGATGATCAACAAATTAAAATCTGACCATTTATTGCAGTTGTTTACCAAGATTTGAACTAGACCTAGGCCCGGACCTAGGCCTAATCGCGCTCGGAGCAAGATCATAGCCTACGGCCACACTGTCAAACTCCTGTTATTTGTATCACTCTGGAAAATGGATCAAGAACTTGGTAAAAATACACATTACTGTTTTTTGATACTCCAGCAATACTTTCAAAACGGACGGTATAGAAACAAGGACATAAAATGATTATTTTTCACTAACACGGAAAACGGGCCTCAACTGACACGTTTGCATAATTTACCCGTCCCAATGTTCATATTAGTCGGATCAAAATGGTCTGCATTGATAAGTTACTGTGCAATTACAGTAAGCTTACGGTGGGGGTCAAAATACATCATTAAAGGTGTTCCAGCAGTGGCCCCGCTGAAAACATGAGGAAGTCCCGCTGAAAACATGAGGTCCCATTTTACTTATTTTGTCCCACCCTTGTGATCATGTTGGCTACATGTAAGCTTATGGTCCCGTATTTACATGGATTCACGTCTCTCCAATTCGTGTCTTCTAAAATATTCTACTAAAACATGGTGGACTTTCCAACTAAGACTCATGGAGATCACATACTTCGAATTCCCAAATTTATCATCTGAGCTATGAACATTTTGAAGACATGCTAACCATTTAGCAAGATTCCTTAAGATTTGACAAAATTGGAGACCTAGTGTCATGAATTATTGAACACCCTTTATTAACCCGCCATAGTTTGCACAATTGGGATAAAATATCCCAAATATACTTGGTTTTATATCAATTTAGTACTTTCTATAGTGACATCTTAGTCACATCTAGACTTTTAAGAAAAACATAAAATCCAGGACATTGAAACATGGCCGGATTAGACTATCACTTCATTCGTTCGTTAACGTATCAATTGTCCACCAGTGTATAGTTCAGAGTTACTTATATATAATAGCACATGTATAGTCCAAGTAAGATCATTACCCACCTGCTTTTCAAACAAAAATACACCACACGTTTCCGCCCCCTGAAAATAGAGTCCTTAATGACAAATGGAATCTGTCCTGGTTCCAAAGCACCATTGGAAAGGTTATAGTGTCAGCTTAAAGGCCCCATGTAAAGTTTAAACCACTTTGGCTTATATTGTAGTCTTACCCAATGTTTTCAAAGTGTGATATGTGAAACTTTTTTTTTAAATTTCAAAAAGTGGTTTTTGATAGACTTTTTGTTCCAAAATTTGTGAATTTATTTAAAACCAACTTTTAGAGATCACTCATATCTTCTAATCAGCCACAATTAATACCAATGCATAGCATTCATCCTCCCATGTTTTTTGCCGAAAAAATTAAGAAAATCGGTTGATAAACAAGCGAGAAATGAACTTGCATGAAAATGGTTCTGAGAAAAATGCATTTCAAAATTTTAGTTCTCATAGAAACCAATGGTACAATGATATCTAAAACATAATTTATTCTTCTTTTTAACCTGGTTAGACAATCAACATTGGTTTTTTTATGAAAGTCTAGCATATTTAGAAAAGATTGACATCGAAAAAAAAATTTCAATTTTTTTCAAAAAGTTTTTGTTACCTTAGTGACATCACTAATGTTTCAAAATATTTTTGATATGCTAAAACATTGAAGTGGCTCATTAAATATGGAATTTTATTATTGAAATAGTGTGTCCTTTGTTCAATCTTTGCATTGGTGTTAAAAATATAATCTTTTTTGAAATGCATTAAGAAATATTTGATGATTAAGAAAAAAATTTTGTTCAAAAATCTCTAAAATCACTTTTTAAGTCCTGACAAATAGGAAATGAATGATAAAAAATATTTTCAAACTTTAGACGGGGACTTTAATGGATCTGGATTCCGAGGTTTGCTTATGGTTACATTTTTAAACTTACTTTCCATAAAACTTCTAGCTGTCACGTCGACATGCATAATATGAAATATGGAGTGGTTCGAATTTATAGTTTCTCATGTGTAACAGGTCAGTTCAGTAAAACATACATTTCACATAGAACCACCCTCCAACCCTCATATGAACTAAGTAGAGAAGCGAATTTTACCCCTTGGTGATGAAAGGGTTAATTTTTCAACTTTGTAACCAGCAACCCTCCATGCAAAAGTAGACTAGATCTTTAGAGTTCACACTCTGGCCTTTCTAATGCATGGTTTATATTTGAATTTTTGAACAAACAGCGGCATTCTTTTCTAACACATGAATTTCGGGTTCGCTTCCAACAGTTTACATTCTTCAGTTTTTGATTTTATAATCAGTAATGAGAGGCCAAGTAACTAAGACAAATATTCATAATGTATTTTATTAGATAATACTTTTATATACATGGTAATACATTACTCATACAATGGTGATAATTCATTATATACAATTTATACAATTGTAATTAAAAACTTTTTTATCAGCAAGGCTGGTTATCGCAATATACATTGTACACGCCTCTTCCTAGCGACAGGTTTACGAAGAGTCCGGTAAATGAATGATAGCTATTGGATAGACTAGAAATACGGCAACATGGTTTGCATCACTCTAAATAAATATTTTTGGAAGAAATGGTATCAAAAGAGCTTAGTAAACGACACTGCCATCTTTCTATATAACCCAGAGCATAGTATAAAATTGAGTATACGGTCAAGTCAAGTAACTTAGTCAACATTCGATATTCGTATGTTCATCAATATTTACTAAGAATGGTGCCACAACTGAAGTAAACTTCTGGATAATTATTTTCAATAAACCTATCAGCAAACGTGTAAATGATAATTTTGATGTTCTGTTACATATTGGTGAAGCAATCTTGGGGAAATGGCCTAAATTTCTGATTTTCCACTGTGTCCCTGTATACCCCTACTTCAAAAGATGTATGTTATTTGTCGTTTTTAGTATGAACCAACCATAAATGTATGTTTTCTTGTTTACATACAGAATGAACTTTCTGTTTTCAAATATCGAAAGATGGTACTGCATTTATTTGTTAATGATATGGAGCAAACAAATGCGTGTCAATTTACACTGTAATATCCTACATACTTATATTTCAAGGGTAGTTTTGAAGAACAATCCAGAAAATCCATGTTTTCAAATGGATTCATCCTTGTCAAAGAACGTAAATGAGGATATGCGGTTTGAAAAACTAACAACATGTTTCAAGTTCTTACAATTCTTGGTTGAAACAAATATTTTGAAAGTTGTGATTTCGAATGTAATATCCTACTCAATGAAATTTGTTGATATTTGTGAATTTTTTCTTTCGGAATGCACATTGCTGGATCACAGAAACTTGCCTTGTTCGCGATGCACGAAACGTGTATTGTTATTCTTGACGTCGTTCGGATATTTGGATGTGATTGACGTTTCGTTAATCTCCTACCACTGTAACTTCCAACTTAATTTTTGAAAGCCAAATATTATAGTCACGAATTGATATTTAAGTCACACGTTGATTGCATACATCATGTGTGTACATTAACTGTCGAATACATGCCGCTTTACATTTATATAAATATCCACAGTTAACTCAAATCATCAATTCTCGAAACGGTTTATCATATTACCGGCCTGGTGAGTTTAATGTTACATTTTAATTTATAATTATGGTATCGGATTTGAGTATGATATTAGTCGAGGCTTAAACAAAGCAATAAAATTGCGTGAAACCTTTTGTGAAAATTCGAACGATTTTTCAAGAATCCTCCTTCAAAGTGTTACCAAAGTGCTCCCCGGGAGTGGAAATTTCGTCTTGTGTAATCAAAATAATAGCGGGTGGTTTGAATTTTTGTTTGAGTTTAGAGCTTACATCTATAAATTTAAAAACATATCGCCTCATTGAGAGGTACATGCAGATTTTGGCGATCTATCATTATAAAAGGCTAAATATTGTGCAAAAACAGGAGTTGACACGCTTACATTTGGAAATGAAATTTCCTACATAATTGCCGACTCATGTTTAAAAGTCATGAAAACAAGGTTGAACACAAAACATTGACCCAGTTGCTGTCTATTTAGCATGGGATCACCAAGGGAAATATTATTAATGGCTTAAATCGTTAACGGTTAAGTTGTATTCCAAGAAACTTATTAATTTAGTAATGCAAAATGTTCAATTTTGTTTTTCAATTATAAAAAATCGCACCTGTAGAGAACAACGTTTACAAAATTATTTAAAACGGAGATATTTACTTATGTAACATTCATTGGCATGTGTCAAGGAGTAAATAAGAAGAATATGCCTTTCATTCTATATCTTGTTCCCAAAGGAGTTTGTTAAGGAGCGGTATATCCTAACGTACTTTTATCATCCCGAACTCAAACATTTCGAATACTTATTTTGAGAACGCTTTGTTAAGAATGGATTCGAGATGTACTCAAAATTAATACGTTAAAATGTGTATTATCATCTTAATAACTACCTCATAAATTATATTGGAAATCAAAGATGTACGATTTTTAAGATTTTAATTTTCGCATGTTGACTTAGTTACTTGGCTTGACTGATAAAGGAAAAAAATAGTCAAGAGTATATCATTTATAATGCTCTAAACAGTGATGGCAATAGCGTTAAAAGGCTTTGTGAGGTGTCTATAGAACATGACAATGATCTTAGCCAAACAGCAGACACAGGCGACTCCAATCAATACAGCATTAAATATAGAGTTCCTTAACTCGGGGTTCCAGTTCCTGCTATGAACGCCAGAGAGCGCAACTATACACACGATGTATGGGCTAAACAGGTACCTGGTGAACCTATCTAGAACAGTCATGTCCAATGTAAAGTAAACAACTATCTCTGCAGTAACTATACTTAATGATATCGTAGATGCGATACTGTTTTCAACATTTGCCTTGTATATCAAAACGGATGTAAAGTTTAAAAGAGTGGCGAGAGTTGTCCATGTTGCATAGAAAGCCATGCCATTTTGAACGGTAAATCTGGTCAGCCAAATGTCCACTGCATTTCCAGATTTTGATAGATAATCGGAACTTTTGTTGACTCCCCAGATTGAGATACCGATGCAGATATAAAGTGTGAACGGCATCAACGCAATCACGCATAGAGAAACTATTATCATCTCCCTGTCCCAGAGTATCAACCAGGATACATTTAATGCCATGTTCAAGATCCAGACTCCGTACATAGCCGGGGGCATGTGCCCGGGAGAGACGTATAGGTAGCCGCTAGCACTCTTCCTGCAAACTGTAGTCCACGCATAGACGATCCAAATGGCCTGCCATAAATAAATTGCGCCCCAAATTGAAAATGTCCATCCAGCCGGAACTATTTGATGTTGATATTTATTTGATATCCCCCCGGTCGTGTTGAGAAAAACACCTCCTGAAATTTTAAAATAAAAAATTAGAATTTTAGAATGAGCAAAAACCAACTGTTGGTCGTAAACAATAGTCTTGCTTCAAGACCCTCGACTATCCACTCTTGTTCCTATACGTGAACAGACTGACAGATGGGGCAGCAAATATATTACAACTTGCGTGTTATTAGAATAGCTAGGTTGAGGAAGTACTATTTAATGGCAATAAGTGACTCTATGCTAGACCATAGGATCAATGAGTTGATGAGTGTTAAGTTCTAGAGTTCGTGATATCACTCTGGACATCACACTTTTGATTTTTAAAATTAATATCTATGCATAATTTTGATGGGAATTATACGAGTAACGGTGTATTTTTAAAATATATTTGTTGCACTTTGGTAAATAATTAGCAAAATATTAGATAAATACAAAGCTACATCACCCCGGAGTAGCCTGACAACGGTAAAGTCAGATACATACATGACCGTCGCTTCAATTCTTCAATCACTTGGTCCTCGTACGGGACTTTATCGTCGCTAATTTTGTGCGTGTATTAAGCTCTTGTGATAATGTATCATATGAAATCCCAATTTCGATCAAATTGGGTCGTGAATCGCCACAATATAGCGTCTTCGATATCAGTCGTCAATGACAACGGAATCTGAATTTGGGACAACGGTATATGGTAAATTATTTAAAATTCAGATTCCGGTGTCATTGGCGATATCGAAGACGCTATATTGTGGCGATTCACGACTCAATTTGATCGAAATTGGGATTTCATATGATTACATCATCACAATAGCATGCACAAAATTAGCTACGATAAAGTCCCATGAAATGAGGACCAAGTAATTGAAGAGTTAAAGCGACGGTTATGTTCGCCATTTCTTGTGACAACGGTATCTGACTTTACCGTTGTCAGGCTATTCCGGTGTGTACATGGACAATTTTATTTTACTAAAATCAACTTTATTTATTAAACTTCCCAGTGTGCAAAAATCCGATTGTTCAGTTTGGGGGATGGTCAAAATATTTTCTAGCTTAACGTATTAACAATAGAGTTGGTGACACCATTATTTTGTTTGATTATGATTCTAATCCCAAAATTATGCCCTTGTCATCCTATATCAAGAGTTTGCTCGAGCTATTTGCAAGTCCGTACAGAATATCATCCGAGTAGCGCACATGGACATCGTAGTTTAATACAAAAGTCAAACACAAATATTGATAACGACAATGGTAAAACAAATAAACCTGAAATAACCCTACCTAATCCTTGTCCTGCCGCACTAAGGTAGTTGAAGAAGAGCGTATTGGCGAAAAACAACGTAGAGAGCACAATGAGGATGATTCTTCCTGGGCTATGTTTGAACCCTTGCATTCCATCAATTCCTTCCATACTGAAAGTAGCTGCAAATTAAGAAAACGATTACGATATGAGTGACAGTACAGTCATTGTTGTATCTTGTATATTCGTTCTAGTTCCTAGAGATAAACTCAACAGCTGCAAAACTTAGAAAAATACCAAGCAGAAGTGAAGACTGTATGTTTTTATTATGGCTGGGTGTAAACCAATCTTTTCAAATCTGTTTGTTTCGACCTTTCACTGTAGCTCTTTCTCTCGATTTTCTGCAAAGGATCTTCTATCAACAAAACGGGACTTTTCAATCATACGAAAAGAACAAAGCTAGTACTGATCTACGGCAACCGTACGATGGCAGTACCTTCCCAAAATTGATGGTGTAAATATGCAGCATAAAATATGCTGAAAACGTGAAGCTACGGCCGCCGTAGAACAAATGTGACAGAGGCTTAAGTCTCCAGTTGTCCCCAACATTTATAAATATTAATGATGAAAGTACTTTTACATATATTACGTATATATATTCAGTTAAATGTCGGTTGAAACAACAATTGTACGTTAACTGACGAAAAGGGGTGTCGTATATATAACATTACGCATAGAATAACTACAGAGTTATATTTAAACTAACCTGATATGCTTGCTTTCTCTGAAACAGGTCTGTTGATCCAGTCGTAAAGCCTAAGTAAATCTGAGCGCTAAGTAAATGTTTAAAATATATATAAACGTTTTTTGAATTATATAATCGATCAGTCACGATTTGGTCCACGTTGTTTATTAGCGGTATGTCTAATGTAGTGATCAACTGATTTGATTTCCCAAAGAATTTAATTAAATATGACAGGGCATGTGTACAACAACGTGAGCTGTAAGTGTTATTACATTGATATCAACAGTTTATTGGGCGAGGTGCTTTGAGAATGCTCGAGTATTGGGATATATAACCTTCTTATCTTCTGGTTTATCGTTTGTCTGTTTACATTGTCAACTTTTGTATTTTATTGATAATAGGTACATCCTTTTGAACCTATTGAAGTTACAAAACACATTTTTATGATTACATATATCGTTTTTTATTTGTTTTGTTTTAAGTGCATTTTAAGTACAAACTATAACTAGCTGACTTTCGTGAGCAACCATTCAGGTACATTTTGGGAATCGGTTGACAATCGTTGCGGGAACTTCAAATGCCTGAAAAAAGACGTATACACGTTCATAAATATTTTAAAAGATGAGGATTTCAACCATAAATGTAGGCCATTTGAGGCATATTGCCCATAGAAATCCTATTGAAACATCGGTTTGTTAAACTTTTAGACTTTTCTGCTAATCATTTCGAATTCCTAGCTGGCCATAGATAAATCCAATCTTGCACCAATCAGTACCAACAAAGAAAACAATGAGTTGCTGAATTAAGGATATGAAGTTTAAAGGGGTTAGTACAGACTACATTCTAGAAAATATATCGTCCAACCCCTGAAGAGGAAACTGACAAAATGTCGAAACCTCGATGGCATATTTCACGAGTTGTAGGCACTTATAAACTCCAAGAAATTTTTACCACAAACGTTTGTCAGTGAGCGGTGAAAGTACAGTCCCAAAGAATACATCAAGCTCTTTGAAATGGGCGAGGAGCGGCACACCTCCACCCAGGACCGTGAGAAGAAGTGGCAGCTCCTACACATGAGGGGATAATTAGCACCGGGATAATTAGCAACCCTGGCAGAGCGTGCAAAGCTCCGACGAGAACGCTGTCGTCAGAGAATAAAGTCTTCATCGCCACCAGTGATGGGGACATCCGGGTATTATTTCGTAAACGGAATCGGGTTAAGTGCAGATCTTAATGACCGTTTTTGAAGTTCCGTTTACGTAACAAAAGTGAGATGGTGTATTATATCGATGATTCTGTCGTCTTCTGAACTATTTGTTCGCAAACGTTACATTTGCGATAAAAATGTCTTGGAAATTCTGCTTACAACGTGTAAAATAAAGAAAAATTGTAACTTCGAGGTTCCTACTTTGAAGAGTGTTGTACCATGGGCTTTCATCTAGTTGAAAGCCCATGGTTGTACCAGTGTAGATGTCTATACAATTATTTTCAGACATTATTTGAGGTTATAAACAGAGTAAACAAATTTGCTTTGGCACGTTTGAAAATCACTGTGCTTTAAACATTTTGCATTTATTCATGGCACTTTAAAGGCAATTGAGCAGATCGTTGTTCCCTCTTCAAAAGAAGAGACGCGAAAACCTTTCCTTATAAGGTCAAAATATTTCCCATGGTGCAGTTCGCGGAGTAAAGTTCGTATTATCTCTGCAATGTGGATTATGACCCAAGTAAGTGTGTTTGCATGTTGATGTGCATATTGTTCACGGCGACTATCCAGGCCCTGTATATCGCAAGCAAGTTCCCGGCCGCTGACATCGGCGAGCAATGAGCTCATGTTTAGAAGCGGGGCTTTGAGAGATATGAAAAATATAGTTACAGTTGAAGAACGTCGTCGCCCTGCAATTGAAATACCCATTGTACTGTGAAATAAAGTTATACTGAGTTTCACTTACTAAAGTTTCATAGAAAATTTATATTTCCGTTTTATCATATCTCTCAAGGCTACGCTTCTAACATGAGCTTATTTCTCGCGATGTCAGCTGGGCCTCAATAGCCCCGGTGATTGTTGGACTTTGTCAAACATTTAGCCACTGCACGGGTAATATCCAAAGCCCCGATATGAGTTCGCGATCAAGTTCTCGCTGAAATCGCGAGCATTGTCCTATTTGTACCACTTTGGAAAATGGACCAAAAGGATGAAAATACTTATAACTGTTCTTTGATACCCCAGCAATACTTTAAAAACAGATATATTTGACAAACAATGACATCATGACAATTGATTATTTTTCACTGTCTTGGAGGAAAAGGGCGTCAACATGCACGTTTGTGTAATATACTGCTCACACAGGGTGGGCCAAAAAACGCCACTTTTTTCAAAATGCTATAACTTTTTTTTAATTTTTGATAAAAATCATAATTTGCATACCAAATGAAACTTGAAGTTGTTATCTAGCCATGGATCATGAATTGCAAACTTTTACTTGAATAAAATATGTCACCAGCGTCTCACTTAAACATGTGGTGTGCCATGAGAAATAAGCATATTTTGCTTGAACTGATATGGCCTGAGCCCTGAGGCAAACCCCAGTGAGTATAGGGTATGGGAAGGTCTCCAGGAGATTGTATGAAGGCACCTAATCGAGAAAATTGCTCAACTAAAGCATGCAATTAAGACAGGTTGAAAAAAAACTTACCCAACATTTCATGGATACTGCTATATCAGCAAGGCGACTAAAACTAAAATATATCATCAATTAGGGTGGCGGACCAATTGAACTCCCCTTTTAGATCAAATATAATCCAAGTTGAAGGACTTGTTACATTATATTATTACTAAGAACCCCTGGCACTATATAACTGCAAAATTTGGGGTATGTTGGTTGGAAAATAAAAAAGTTGTAGTGTCTTGAAAAAAGTGGCGTTTTTTGGCCCACCCTGTATATTACTTTTAGCGTTATAGACCGGGTGCTTTTCTGCAAAAGGTCTCTCTGTAAAATGTGGTAGGCGTTTAGTGTTAAAAGTGTTCTGACAAGTGTTTCTTATGTAACTTTTTATGCGGAATTCAAAAAACCATGTTGGCAAGCTGAAATATGATTATTTAATCCTTAAAATACCATGTTAGTCCCCCTACCCCCAAATTTCACCCCTATCAGGGGGAAAAAATTCTTCAACCTAAAATAACTTTGATTTTATGGTTTTTGTAAGTGAAATACATGGACATTGTATAAATTAAACATTTGAAGTATGAATGATATGGATTACCCTTAAGAAATTTGAATAAAAGCAAAAAGTATGTACCCCAGGGGGCAAATTTATGACCCATTTTTTACTTTTCGTGTTATAACTTTTTTATTAGACAATGATGGATGCTTAAAAAAATCCATGTAAAAGGCATAATACCTGGTCTACTAATCCTGCAAGAATCAAAGTAATTCATTCGATAATTGCCTCGAAAAAAATTAGTGAATTTAAGAAAAAATGACATTTTAGCTGGGACTGATTTTATGCGTGACTATAACTGACCTCTATTGCTTTAACATTCATCCCTCTGTGTTCATATATTTAGCATTTTGGAATAAATCTAAAATATAAAACTTATTTTAGCAAAGTTTTAGGAAGATTTAAGCTTTTTATCATGTTCAACTATTAAAAATTCATGAAATATGATGTCTAAAATTGATAAGTTATACGCATACCCTTGGAAGACCCTTATAATTTCTTATTTATGAACATATTTGTACCAATATTAGTTTTCTAGCTTAGACAAATGATGTATGATATATCCTGGCTTGGCTTTCTGGTGGTTTGAACAATCTTTTAAGTGTTATCATTGAAAATTCATTCTTAAATCATAGGTCTGCAATCGATTAAATTCATGTATACCATTAGTATCATTCTACTGGTATGAGCATAATTGAACTAGCTATGATTTCATAGATTAGTTGTTTGATGTATGACATATTCCAAGCTGACTTTCTGGTGATTTCAATCATCTAAGAGGCTTAATCATTGAAAACCATTACAAATAAAGGCCTAAACGGACAGTATTAAGGTAGACTATTAGAACACCCTTAATTCCAGGCTTAGAGTACATTGGTACCTACTACTGTCTCATAGCTCGGAGGTTTGATATATGACATATTCTGACTAGTTTTCTACAGGTTTGAACCACCTAACAGGTCTAATCATTGAATATACTTAATATACTAGGTCTAAAATTGAAGTATTCAATAGAACCCTCTATGATAAATTCAAAAAAGATTCAGAATGACATTAACCTTAACACTGGATCTGAATCAGAATTACAATTCTTCATAGAGCTGAACTAGGAAGACAAGGCTAATTTCATTCTAAGCAGCCTGACAATTGCATGACGTGAGAGCAAAAGTACCAATGATTCATACAAATCTTCATTTTAATGGAGTTTTCTTCCCTGTACAATGTTTAGTCATATTTAAAAATCCCCCCCCCCCCCTGTCCCCATTAACCTTTCTGTGTTACTCTTGGGGTTGAGGCAGAAATTCTTGACAAATGGCGTATACTCACTTTGACAACATTTTGAATTAGTGGGATGTTTCAGTTAATGAGAGTTTTTGCAGAGTAGCAATTTTTTGGCAATTTAAATCCAATAGGACCATATATGGGAAATTCAAAAAAGATTCAGAATGACATTAACGTCAACATTGGATCTGGAAATCAAATAAAGCAACTGATTGATGTGATCTCGGATGACTCTTGTAAATCAGAATTACAATCCTTCATAGAGCTGAACAAGGAAGACAAGGATTACTTTTCATTCTGGTAGTAATACATGGACATGGTCCAAATCTTGATACGCTTCACCATAGCCCAAAGAAAGGGAAATTGAGAGCTTCATCTCAATGTATTTCAATGCATGAATCCTTTTTCCATGAGATATGACCACCAAAAGTATGCAAGATGGGGCACAGTACACTTCACTGCTGAAGTTTTGCTTCCTTGAAGACTGTAGCCAAATCCTAAGGTGTAGATGCAATTGATGCTAATTTGTAAGAAGGATCATACATTGGAAATATTACGGTTGGCATTCCAATGCCATTTGTTAAACAGTTAAGGAGTAGAGTACATTTGAGTTGGCTTGAATGTTTCATTCGTCAATGAGGGCTATTGGAAAAGACATCAGCTCATGTTTCATGATTTCATTGATGCCCACAGGTCTGTGGTTAGCTTCATATGTAGTGATAAGATTCTGCAAAACATTCCTGTCTGCCTTAACAACTTTCTGCTCGTTTATATTGGGATTAGGCATATAGTTTAAAAATGTTGGTGCTTGCTCAGTAGATCAAGAAATGTTGTGTCTTTCATCTGACCCTGTTGGTATCAACCTCTAAGACACAAAGACATCCAGTTGTTGTCGAGCTGTCGAGCCTGTTGATTGTTTCTGTGAGTACATCTTTTGTACATATACTTTGGAGATTAAGTAATGGATCTTCTGAAAACATGCCAAACTTCAGCAGCATGTCACATATTTTAACTTCTTCCATAGATTCTTGTTTTGATTTGCAAATTACCACCCCCCCCCCTCTATGGAATCTCAAAACGCAAGTCCAAACATCATTCTTGTTTGGACTCCCCATATGTGATCTAAGATTATACCCCGGTGCCCATCTGTTCAATGCAGATATTGTCTTTGTGTTATGCCTACAATTCTGCCACCCTTCTAACCAATAGCATACTGGCATAGGGGTCAATCAACTTGGTTGATTGAATTTGTAGAGCCTTTTACCACATAGTTCAATGCAAGAATCCTCGCTGAACTGCAGCAGGTACTATATTCTAATAGTTAGTGCATTTCCTCTAAGTTTACTGTGCCACACCTTCCATAATTTTGGTGGTCATGAAATAAGGGATCATGCATTGAAATGCATTGAGATGAAGCTCCTAATTTCCCTTTCTTTGGGCTTGGATGAAGTATAGCAAGATTTGGACCATATTCAGCTCTATGAAGGATTTAATTCTTATTCAGATCTAATGTTGAGGTTAATGTCATTTTGAATCTTTTTTGAATTTTCATAGAGGGTTCTATTGAATACTTCAATTTTAGACCTAGTATATGGAGTATAATCAATGATTAGACCTGTCATTGGTTCAAATCTGCAGAAAAACTAGTCAGGATATATCATATATTAAATCCCCGAGCTATGAAACAGTAGTAGGTACCAATAAACTCTAAGCCTGGAAATAATAAGGGTATTCTAATAGTTTACCTTAATACTGTCTGTTTAGACCTTTATTTGTAATGATTTTCAATGATTAAGCCTCTTTTTAGATGGTTTAAATAAACAGAGAGTCAGCTCGGAATATGTCATACATCAAACTAATCTATGAAATCATAGCTTGTTCAAGTTGATTATTTTGGTCAATCTTGCATATTTTGCTTTAATATTTCAGAATTATTTACTTCATTTAATGTGAATTTTGTTGTGAACATTTAATGATAATCTGCTTATAAAGTAAAAAACTACAGCATTTTACAACACATGCCCCATGTGGCCATCACCCCAGCCAACGAAGCTGTTGATGACTCTCTTGCACATACCAGCATGAATTGCAAAGCTTCTGATGAAGCTATCCACTTAAAATTGAAGAACATCTGAGAATTTGTCTGACACTAGTTTTACTTCTCTAGATAGATTTTAGTCACGCCATGGATAATTGAACAATTGAACAACTTCCTTTGCCAGATTTGATTGTGCATGTAGAGGAGAAGTGGCCACATTGGACATATGTTGTAAAGTGCTGTAGTTTTTGACTCCACAGGCAGATTATCATGAAACTTTCACAACAAAATTCATATTGAATGAACTGAATAATTCTGAAGTTTTGAGGCAGAATATGCAGGATTGACAAAGTTAATTAACTTTTCTTCGGTCCTGTTTTTGGACACCCTGTACCAGTAGAATGATACTAGGCTAATGGTATACTTGAATTTAATCGATTGCAGACCTATGATTTAAGAATGAATTTTCAATGATAACAGGATATATCATACATTATTTGTCTAAGCTAGAAAACTAATATTGGTACAAATATGTTCATAAATAAGAAATTATAGGAGTCTTCCGAGGGTATACCTATAACTTATCAATTTTAGACATCATATTTCATGAATTTTTAACATTTGAACATGCTAGAAAGCTTAAATCTTCCTAAAACTTAGCTAAAATAAGTTTTATATTTTAGATTTATTCTAAAATGCCAAATATATGAACACAGAGGGATAAATGTTAAAGCAATAGGGGTCAGTTATAGTCACACATAAAATCAGTCCCAGCTAAAATGTCATTTTTTCTTAAATTCACAATTTTTTTTCGAGGCAATTATCAAAGGAATTACTTTGATTCTTGCAGGATTAGTAGACCAGGTATTAAGCCTTTTACATGGATTTTTTTAGCATCCATCATTGTCTAATAAAAAAGTTATGACACGAAAAGTAAAAAATGGGTCATAAATTTGCCCCCTGGGGTACATACTTTTTGCTTTTATTCAAATTTCTTAAAATTAATCCGTATCATTCATACTTTAAATGTTTATTTTATACAATGTCCATGTATTTCACTTACAAAAACCATTAAATCAAAGTTATTTTAGGTTGAAGAATTTTTTCCCCCTGATAGGGGTGAATTGGGGAGTAGGGGGACTAACATGGTATGTTAAGGGTTAAATAATCATATTTCAGCTTGCCAACATGGTTTTTTGGATTCAGCATAAAAAGTTACTTAAGAAACACTTGTCAGAACACTTTTAACACTAAACGCCTACCACATTTCCTCTAGATGAAAATGCACCTTGTCTATTAAAGGCAATGGATACGATTTACATACTCCATAATGCATAGCAGATCAATATAATCTGTATTGATAAGTAACTGTACAATTACGTCTGCCATGGGGGTCGAAATACATCATTAAAGGCGTTTCAGTGGCCCCGCTGAAAAAATGAGGAGGCCCCGCTGATACACTTGAACGTGCCAAAAACGTATTAATAACAATCACATAACATCATTCTATGGCAATATCGCAAATATATCTTCTGCAACTTCAGGCAGTTTGATCCATCTGCCAGCGTCGTCATAAAATTCTTAAATGCGTAGACTTTCTACATTTGTACTGTTAAATGTAAATTCTTCATAATTCAATGTTTCCAAGTAGTATACTTCTGAGGACACATATATTTCATTGGCTTGTTTGTTCTTCCGACTGTTCGTCGTTCGTGCATGCATTCATCCGTTTGTGCGTGCGTTCGTCCGACCTTCCGTTCGTACGTGGGTGCGTGGGTGCGTGAATCTTATTGAATATCGCGTATATGATGCGTAAAATCAAGAACATTTATTCTTATTATGAAAATGAGGTTAAACTTTTAACATTTCCTCCGATCTATTACTCATCACATTTCTTAGATGACCTATCTTATTCTGGAAAATGGCAACGAAGATCATAGTGCAGTTTTCCATTACAACCTATCATAATATGTACTATATCAATACAGTATTTGCTGTTTTTTAGAATTGTATCAACAAATGATGTATTCATGAAACTGGGTACAATAGTGGATCATGCTGGGTACGATAGTGGGCGATTTTCACGGTATAATCTGGATTCACTCCAATTTGGAGGGACACTTGCTCCTGTTTTCAGCGGGACCTCCTCATGTTTTCAGGGGGGCCTACTCATGGTTTCAGAGGGGTCTTTGCTATATTGCTCCTGTTAGAAGCTGGGCCTTGAGGGATATGATAAAATTGAAATATATTTAGTGTTCTGTAAGAATTTAAGAAGTGAAACTGAATACATTTTTATTTCAGATAACTATCATTATTTCAACCACAGGACAATGTACATCCATACTAAGTTCAATCATGAATCCATCAAATAGTAAGCTTATTGTCTGTTCTGATTACTGCATTTTCAAATGGTTGACTGATGGTGCACTGTTTTATTTTGACTTATTTCAAAAGCCAGTGAGACTACTTTCTGAACACACCGGGCAAAACTATGCACTGCCCAGAAATCTCTCTCAATTATTGCGTTACTGTCTTTCTTCAAGCTTGGTTTGGTGCGTCTCTGTATTATTTCCTTTAGTTGCTTTGGAACGAAACATAATTAAATTAGGTGCCTACGTAATGTTAACCACAATTTTGAATTGGATTAATTGTTACTTGTGCTATTTAATTAAGTTTTTCCTTTAAAAAAACTTTTAAAGTTCTACTCCATAGAGAATAGCCGCTTCTATGATTCAATGTAAAAAATAAGGATTGGTCCGCTTGGTCACATTTTCAGAAGGTCCATCTGGAGCAAGGCTTTGGGTATGTATAATGTTTTATTTTAGTGAACATTTTCTCTTGTCGGCAGTTATTGTAGAAAATCGTGTAGCCAGGCTCAAGTAGTGACTTTAGTCAGACGGAATATAAAATTGGAGTCCATGCACATCTTCTGAAAAATAAATCAAACATTGCGAAAACGCTTCAATAATACTGAACCTCAATTTGGACAGGGTGGGGTGTTATATGGGGCACTGGTGCCAAAAACGTTCATGCCGATGTCCAAAGGCAGCTATCCCGTGCAAAGATCAACATTTGATAATTCACTTACCCTAGCCCAATACAAATATTTTATCAAGCCATGTTTGTATGATGATGCTCCTACAACCCTCCAGTACTTTCCGCACATTATCTGTGTCTACCGCGCACGTGTAGAAGTAACGGCAAAAATGACTGTCGTGCACAGACATCCGCCTCTCATCGTGCACGATAGCCTGAAAAAATATAAACATATTTTTCGAATCTATTTACCGCAATTCGCACAAATCCTAGATATTCTCCTATTGTCCATCTTTTATTGGCGCATGGCAAGCATTCATACCAAAGTTCCCAATTTGTCACGAGGACACATCCTGCAGTGTGATTATATGTAGCTGCGAAACAACTCAATGTAACGAGCAAGCAAAACATCACTTTGACTATATTCTTTTTACACATGACTATTAAAACCATCTCATATTATATTGCATATCTTAGCTAAAAGCGAACGAAAAAAATGAGTAAACTGCCATTCGATGTGTTGAATTTTGCATTTTATAATTTACATACCATGTACATATTTTTGATAAATGCAGCAGTTTTTATCACTTCTGGATTTGGGATTGTTTTGTTGAGGAGATTAATATCAGCCTTGCGGGATATTGAAGATCCCCGTGACCTTGACCTTGGCCTCGTTGTATTGTCGTTACTTTTGGGACCGGATGTGTCGATGTTTGCCGGTTGTGCATCAACGAACTCCCTAACTTCGTCATCTAAACAATCAAAAGTGGAACACTCGTAACTAGTAACGTACCAACTGAAGAAACAGTATTATAAACCATTCGAGACTGTCCTTGCATTGTTACGGATATGTGACATATATGCATAGTATAAGGTGATGATAGACATGTACGTTTCAAAGCAGATGTCGTGATTTAATTGGAAAATATTTTTTAATTGGAAAATAATTTTTCTCTTCATACCAAATAACTAATAAATCAACAAAAAGTTGAATCAAACATTGTTCAACCAGTAAAGTGCTATTCCTTTGTCGTTTATATCGATTCATCTGTCTATGAACGTCAATAGCAAGCATCTATTATTTGGTTGAATTTATTCATTAAATGATATGGCATCATGTATCCTTTCACTGAAATAAGAACACAATACACCTTTGTCACATCAGATTATTAGTTACCTGAAGGTGTGTAACTTTTGAAATTCTGGAGATGAGCATAATATGGTGAATCTTCTGAGATCTTATCAGCTAGGGTCTGTAAACTTGTTCCGGAATTAACCTTTTCTTCTAAAATGTCCATCTTGTTCAGAAAAAGTATAATTGAGACGTTTTTTAAAAACCTGTAAACATAAATGAAGGATTACATCTATAGTCACTCCTTGGAAGCACTTGTTTATAAAGAACACAAAATATTTCAAGACGATATTGATTCATTTTTATCTAAGCTTAATATCGATTTGATTAGTTAGTGATTCACGTAATATGATAATTTTGGCCACCTGTTATTCCAAGTTTGTTTGAAAGTGTCTAAAGATTCAATAAGCCTATTCCTTGTAGAGTCTTCTCTAAGCTGTAGGTCAAAGCTGCTCATGTCCGCCACAAATAGGACAGCAGTGCAACTTTCAAAAACCTGGATCCACTTTCTCCGTTCACCTTGCTGGCCACCAACGTCATATACACTAAAAGTACAAATGAAACCGTTTGCAATGTAGTACCACCTAAGAGTGTAACAATCTCAAAGTAAATACTATTCGGTAGAAACTCACAAGATTACTCTCGTGTACAATTCACAATCATGAATATGCATACCATATTTAGTTTTTATTTGCAAACATTAATATTAGTTAATATTAGTATTCACCTAAAGTTGACATCGTGTGCAGCGTCTTTTAATGTAAAATCTATTTTGCTGATTCCAGTTGTAATTACACGACATCTTAAAATATCCTGAAGCAGCAAAAGCATTATGGTTATTTTTATTTTCTCTAAATCACGCTTGTACAATTGTCTCCAATTTGATAAATAAGTGACCCGTGAATTCTTAATGTCATCGTTTTAATATTTTACCCTAGTAGCAATTACTATAAACAGTGTCATGATTTTTGGGCAATAGAAATGGCTGCCGTTTTGAAACGAGTCCAATTTTTTGGACACCACTTAGCGGACAATTGAAAATTTACAGAGGGACAACAAGACAGGCATATCAACGAGGGCGACGTAGTGGGGGGGGGGGGTCTGAGCCTTTGAATGGATTAACCCCAAAACGTCAGAAAAACTCCACAGCGTATCTGAAAAACGTGTTAATCAACTCAAAACGTCACTCTCGTAACTTAGTGCAGCCTGATTGATTACAATAGACTACACCATGGGAGCTTATAAGTATACGAGAATTATGACAAATTATTATGAAACTGGAATTATGAAACTGGAATGACCAAAACAAAACTGGCTATCATCGTAGCATCTGATAATAACATGGCAATACAAAATATTTGCCTCGATCATATTTTACCTGGTCAGTTGGAATGTAATCTTCTCTCCTAATCGTTTCAATTTGGTCGAGGAAACTGAAAAAAGCACCAATAACTTTACCATAGAATTCGAATTTGAAACATGTGAATCAGTCGCTATTTATTTCTGTGTTCAAAGTATGATACCAATTAGTATCTATTGTTTTCAAAGTATCTATTGGTTTCAAAAGCATGATAGTTATTGGATACCTAGCTTTCTTACTATTTGGCACTATCTATGAGTTGATATTCGCTTGATCTACAGTAAGCTTCTTGTGTTCCTGAATCAGTCCACAATTTTAGCGAATGATCGTAAAACTCCTGAAAAATAATGAAGACATATATAACTCCTCACTACCATTTATTCAAGTTCAAAATCGATCATCGATTACAGTCAGTCCACAATTTGAGCGAATGATCGTAAAACTCCTGAAAAATTATGAAGACATATATAACTCCTCACTACCATTTATTCAAGTTCAAAATCGATCATCGATTACAGTCAGTCCACAATTTGAGCGAATGATCGTAAAACTCCTGAAAAATAATGAAGACATATATAACTCCTCACTACCATTTATTCAAGATCAAAATCGATCATCGATTCCAGTCAGTCGACAATTTCTGCGAATGATCGTAAAACTCCTGAAAAATAATGAAGACATATATAACTTCTCACTACCATTTATTCTTGATCAAAATCGATCATCGATTACAGTCAGTCCACAATTTGAGCGAATGATCGTAAAACTCCTGAAAAATAATGAAGACATATATAACTCCTCACTACCATTTATTCAAGTTCAAAATCGATCATCGATTACAGTCAGTCCACAATTTGAGCGAATGATCGTAAAACTCCTGAAAAATAATGAAGACATATATAACTTCTCACTACCATTTATTCTTGATCAAAATCGATCATCGATTACAGTCAGTCCACAATTTGAGCAAATGATCGTAAAACTCCTGAAAAATAATGAAGACATATATAACTCCTCACTACCATTTATTCAAGTTCAAAATCGATCATCGATTACAGTCAGTCCACAATTTTGGCGAATGATCGTAAAACTCCTGAAAAATAATGAAGACATATATAACTTCTCACTACCATTTATTCTTGATCAAAATCGATCATCGATTACAGTCAGTCCACAATTTGAGCGAATGATCGTAAAACTCCTGAAAAATAATGAAGACATATATAACTCCTCACTACCATTTATTCAAGTTCAAAATCGATCATCGATTACAGTCAGTCCACAATTTGAGAGAATGATCGTAAAACTCCTGAAAAATGATGAAGACATATATAACTCCTCACTACCATTTATTCAAGTTCAAAATCGATCATCGATTACAGTCAGTCCACAATTTGAGCGAATGATCGTAAAACTCCTGAAAAATAATGAAGACATATATAACTTCTCACTACCATTTATTCTTGATCAAAATCGATCATCGATTACAGTCAGTCCACAATTTGAGCGAATGATCGTAAAACTCCTGAAAAATAATGAAGACATATATAACTCCTCACTACCATTTATTCAAGTTCAAAATCGATCATCGATTACAGTCAGTCCACAATTTGAGAGAATGATCGTAAAACTCCTGAAAAATAATGAAGACATATATAACTCCTCACTACCATTTATTCAAGTTCAAAATCGATCATCGATTACAGTCAGTGCACAATTTGAGCGAATGATCGTATAACTACTGAAAAAATAATGAGGACATATATACAGGGTGTCCGGAAAGTGAAGATACAAATGCTCTAATTTCAACAGAGTTACCTGTTGTGAGATGAAATTGCTACAGATTGTAGAGTGACATTTTAACAATTTATCCTGCAACTGTCATGACAAATTGTTTCAAAATAAAAAAATTATGGTTGTTATGGTAACAGGAGTCGCGGGTATGTGGAGCAGCGTCACAATCATGTTTTATAATTCTTTTCTCCAGTTCATATCATCTTGACACTTTGTCATCTGTTGCTATCATATATCAAATTATGTACCACAACAGCAAAAGGATTAGTACTGTAACATTATTTAGTCATTTTGGCATTACTTCTGTTATCCGGTATTATGTATTTCCCACCATTATCTTAACATTCTTGGTGCATTTTGACTGGAGATTCCAAGACCTTACAAAACCGCCGCTGCCCATTTCTAAGATTGCTGCTAACATTGGCTTCAAGCCGAATCTCATTTTTAATGTGAACTTCTAACAAATATTGCTTTAAGATATTCATTCATACAAAAAGGTTTAATGTCAAGACATTCAATTGTGAGATTTGTTTTCTTTGCTTTGTGAATTGGTGCAATGACTGTGGAGGTGCACTATTGACTTTTCTATTAATCCAGGGACCCTTTTTCTAAGCACTTATATACTTTTTCTTTGATTATACTGGTGACATAACAAAGTTGATATGTATCAATGATATCATTAAACTAAAGACAATATTATGGCAGCAAGAATACAATATTGAACAAAACAAAACATTGACAGGAAATACCAAAATAAACACTGTTTCAAATGGTTATATTCTAGCAATTTATCGCAATTTAGTGATATCCTGGAACTGCTCCACATACCCCTCACCACTGAAACCATGACAACCGTAACTGTAACACGTTTAGACTGTATGTTATAAAAGTTGGTAGATGTATTGTAATAAAGTTCCTCTACAATCTGTAGCAGTTTCATTACACAAAAACTAAAACTCTTAAAATTAGAGTATTTGTATCTTTACTTTCCGGACACCCTGTAACTTCGCACTATACCATTTATTCAAGATTAAAAGTTTTAGTTGAAACTCTCCTAGGTTCAAATACTGACGTTCAGTTAAATGAAAATGTATGTGAACAAATAATCATCTTGGTGGCAAAGTATGCATGCGGTAAAACATAGTCAAATTACTAATGTAAATATATTTGTTTTGTAAACAAGTGCGTGATACAGGGGTTGCCATTTTAGTAAAGGGTGTAAATACGTTTCTGTGCTTGATACAGGGTATATTTAATGGAAAAGGTTAAATTATGATGTTGAATTATTGGTGTCTATCATATATTTAAGAACTGCCATCTATATATGAATATAAAGTTTAAATAACTAACGTGAACAAAAGATTAAGTAGATTCTGATTGTTTTGTTCTGAGAATGCTGCTGCCATCTTTGAATAAACTCTAAATTATCAATGATATAATTATAATCTATTGTGATAACGAACACCTCCCAATCTGAATGTTTTTAACTGCACGGTGGCATTTGGATTAGACAGGTTTTACTGTATGAGTAATAGTAATACTGAAATTAAAAAAAATCTGAAGGCCTAGTCAATCTATTTTGGGAAATATTCTCAGCTATTTGAAATGAAGATCAACTTTGTAAGAAGTCTCTATAATTATTTTTTTAATTTATACAATAACATTATACTCAACTTTAGTTCAAATTCCAATGCTCTGGCCTTGGCTAATCAAAACAGTTCATTGCAATTGTTTCATCAATTATTATATTATTATATTAATATATCATAATTATTTCACATGCAAATACTGTACTGCCACTAATATTTGATGCTGTTATCTTTCACAATTTTGCAATTTTGAAATTTTGCGGATATCAATTTTCGCTAATTATAAATTTTTTATAATTTTGTATCTATTTCTTTCACCATCATATCATTTCTCAAAAAAATTTCCAGCTTATTTGATTAAATGTTTTTAAAACCAAGAAATATGAACTAAACTATTGAAATCAAGTGCTCACTTTAAATTTTTTTTATATTTTCTGTTTGGGAAAATCTGTTAGTTATCAGCTGCATTTTTGTCAGTCAAGATTTCTCTTTATCAAACCAAATCAAATCCAAGGAATGTTTAGTCAAATATCCAGTTGTTCAGGAATCGAACTCAATTCAAAGAATGATTAGTTCCATAGTGTAAACATATACAACTTTGAACAATATTGGTATCAGCCATTATGTTACATTAAAAAAAACAGAATGTAAAACTGTAAAAGACTTTCATGTAAGCAGGAAATTTCTTGAAAGAATACTAAAGGTTTCGCAACAGAATTTAGACGGTCATATGTTGAATTGCAGAAATTTTCTGAAAATGTAAGGTGTGTATGTTAGGCCAATGCATTATCTAAAGGAAAAGTACTAATACAGATGATAAAAAAATTGGAGATTGAGACAGGGAAGGTGCAAAGACCCCATCAACATTTTTTTTCAAAAATGTTTTCCTGATTTTCAGTTCCTTCCATTTTTTTATAATGTTTTCACATTAATATGTTGCATTTGTAGACAAAGTTAACATACTAAAGAGAAAATATTTTCCTTTTAAGAGTTTATTTGTGTCTCCAAATGCAACATACTGATGCATAAAACATTTATAAAAATTGAGTAGAAGGGGAAATTTTAAATTCAACGAACATATAGGCCCACTGAGCATTTATTTTGCACAGGGCCTTTATTAGAAAGAACTCAAAATAAATGCCATTGGCTTTTATTAAGACTAAGAGGGAAATTGAAAACATTTTTCCCAAGGGGACAGGCATTTATTAAGAGGGAAAATAGCTTTCCCAAGCCAGTGGGTGTTTATTTCGAGGCGTATTATCAATCGAAGAGTTGACACATGGCCTTCATATACTCATGCAATAGTATCTATCATCTCTGATTGCACACTTCTGTTTTACCTTTCAAGCATTCGATTTGGATTTTGGAATGTCATAAAGCTATGCAGTCAAAAGTAATCTTAATACTTTTTAGTGAAAATGCATTTATATTTAAATGCCATTGGCTTTAAAAAAAAAAAAAAAAAAAAAAAAAAAAAAAATTTAAAATGCAGAATCTTGCGAATGCAAAATCCTCGAAATCCGATCACCTCCACATCTGAATGTTTTTTTTAACTGGTCATGGTGTTTTAACTGGTCATGGTGGCATTTGGATTAGACAGATATTACTGTATAAGTATTAGACAGATATTACTGTATAAGTATAATAGTATTACTGGAATTCCAAAAAATCATAACGCCTACAATGCTAGTAATATTAAGTGAAAATGCATTAATATTTTTTCAAAATCAAGAATCTTTCGGATGCAAAAACCTCGAAATCAGACGTTTAAATCTGAATGTTTTTAATTTGTAGCGGTGGCATTTGGATAAGACAGGTTTTACTGTATAAGTATAATAGACATTAATAGTATTACTGGAATTCCAAAAAATCATAAGGCCTATAGCAACAATCATGTGAACTTCAGGTCAAAATTCCAATGCTCCCTTGGCCAATCAAATCAGTTCATTGCATTTGTTTCATCAATGCTCTCAATATCATAATTATTCCACATGCAAATACTGTACTACCGGTTAATTTGCGAGTTTAAATTTCATGAATTTTGAGAAATACCAATTTTGCGGCCATTAAATTTTGCGGATATCAAAGGTTTAACTTCCATTATTCTCTGAATCCTCAAAATTAATTTATCTTATCTACAGTTATTACACCTACCCAATATCATATACTTTGGATAAGATTTACAATCTCTACACAGGCAATTTTTTCCATTACATTTTCTGTAAAGAATGGCTATCTTTAAAAAATCTTTACGGAAATTCATTAAAGAAACTTTGCAGATTTGATACATTTGAAGAATCTGTACAGTTTTTCTTTCTTTAATGATTCTGCAAAGAAATCTCATTACAGAAAAAATACAGATTCAATGCAGAAACTGTGTGTGTGTTGATCTGTAAAGAATCAATAAAGAAATTCTCAACAGATTCTGTAAAGAAATAACAACATTGAAAATTCTGTAAAATTGACTTTGTCATTGAAGATTTTGCAAAGAATACACTTTACAGAAAAATAGATTCAATTCAAAAAATGTATGGATGATGATCTCAAAGAAGCAATAAGTTACATCCAGGCCCATAA